TTGCGATTGAGTAAAAAAGAACAATAAGAAATGCGGTAAACATATTAAATCAAACCAGGATAAATATTTTATGGAGACACTGATATAGGACACACGCTCTCATGGAGTTTACAAATACATCGTCGTTGCCATATCAAAATACGTTACTATAATAACAAGACTCGCGTCATAAATCATAATAAATATGTTAAAATATTGAAAAGAAACGGAAAAAATAAGACAGACAAAGGAGAGAAGAACCTTGATAAATAGGGAACGGAACATACAAACAATATGCAACATAACTCATCGTATACTAAAACATTAGCATTACCCTTAATATACTGAACAGAAGCTATGCGTGTCGCATTAGCTTATTGTATAACTAAAAACTTACCAAAGAATTTAGAAAAACTCTTACCAAATCAATTCTACGGAAGGAGACTTAGAAATGTCATGTCACAAACAGCTAGGGCATAAAGTTATAGTATACAAATAAATTTAAAAGGAAATAATATATTAAAATTTAAGAGGGCGAGGTTAAATACGCGATCATAAACCGGTATAATGACTTTACGTATTAACCTGTTATAGTAAGGCAGAGCGGTTGAAGGGGTACTCCAAATTAAGTCATTTGATTCAATACCTCGAAGGAAAAGTAGAACGTAACGTATACACAAGTATACTAACTTTAAAAAACAAACATAATAACGCAGTACCGAGAGAAAATCCAAAACAATATTTTAGGTACTATGAATCAACTTAAAATGATGAAGGTTACAGTCTTACGATAACCTTACAAAAATTCACGACCTACTTAGCGAGAGTGAGTATAACGACATGGACAGTTTGAAACGAAGAAACAATATAAATGAGCCACCAATTCACTCTAAACTGTTGAAACTGAAACATCTCAAGCGATAGAACACAGCGCACGACGGCCGCCAAGAAGGAACTATTATTTATACTTCAACGTCAAGGATATACGATCTGAATGCTTACAAAAGTATCAGTAAAAATATTATAACTACCAAAGGGCGATTTATTATCGAAAGAACAGTTTATACAGAGCTAGGCTCACTGCGAGGAATTTCCAGCAAGCCAAAAGCGTAAACTACCAGGAAACTTATTTACCGATGTAATCTAATTGAAGTTTTCAGATTACCGGTGTGGACTGCAAATCATAAGCAAATGCCTATAGGAACAATTGATATTTTACTGCCTTTTTACATACAAAACTTATTAAACCGGCGTGCACGACAACTGAAACTATAAACTAGACACTACTCAAACAGATTTTTAAGTGGTACGTTTAGTGAACGTTGGGCCATATGACTTGAATGACTCCGCTCTCTCCTATAAAGCTCTTACTTAAAAAACTAGAAAAATACGGATTTATATAGAACATAACAAATGAGGACATATTTTACTTTTTTTAAAAACTTTAAATACAATTATTGGTGTCCACGTTAACAATTGTATAATACTAGAAAATCACGAAATATTTTTAAAAACCCAATATAAAGGTTATAATCCGAAGGATGAGAGTAGTATTGTAGCAATATTAGGTATTAATATACGCCATTTTCATATCTGAACGGTTATGAGCCTAAAGAAAAAAGGTTAAGCGTCTAGCCCAAGCATTCAATATATATACTAATAGGAGACACACTACTCCCGTTCATACTAGAGTTGAAACAGCATCCTCTCACAGAAAAACTGGACATATATTCTAAAAATTATAAAGTTGTTGAGTCTTTTAGAGACATAACTGATAATACAAGACATGATCTCGCTTACGCTACCATATTACTGTTGGAATTTACACACAGTGAAAACGATACACTTAATGATGGCTAAAAAAGTTTTGGGATATTTATACAAAACAGATATTAATCTATACTTTAGATATAAAGATAATAGGCAGACAATTAAGATTTCCTCACTACAATGGGCATTTAATTCTGTTAAACGGGAATCCTGTGGATTAGAAGTCGAACATCGGCAAAACAACATTTAAAAACGTAATGAGCGGCTGAATACATGTCTTTAAGCAAAGCAATAACTTACAACTACCAATCGAAAACATGGTAAACGAAATTACCGCCAGGAAAGTATAAAAAAAAATCTCACACAGATATTGAGGCAGTAAAAAATAATTGCAGAGATGAGGGAAAAAAAAAACTTCAGCATGAAGAATAATCTTACCATTCCCAACCAGACTTAACAAGGGATGACACAAAAAATAACCATAGCTCCCTAAAAAATAATCTAGCACATATTTGTAAAAACAACAAAGAATACTTAAGCGAAATGATTTAAGATGCGAAAAAACCAAATTAATTTAATTTAAAATATCACATATTGAATACATTTTTACTAAACCAAAAAATAATTTTGTAATTTAGTAAGGATGAATTACAGAATATATGAAAATTAATCTCATCCTTCCGGAAAAGGTACAGATATAGATTGTTGGTCATTAAATTTCTTGTAAAGAATATGCATTTGTTATAGATATGATATAACTACTTTATATAATGAGTTATTTTTCCTTTTTTTTTTATACATTACATAATAATTATAATTAATATAACAATAAAATCTTTAAATTTTGTTGATTTTATGCCATATAATTTAATAGTTCACACATTAAAAACTTGCTCAGTTTTTAAAGCCACAATTTTTCAGTCCACAAATAAGATCTTGTTAAAAAAACGCATCCGTGTAGATCATAAATCCAATCACTTAACTTAAAAACGAATCTTCTGAGCATGAAGAGAACGAGCAGGTAGAAGAATAAAAATTGTAAAATCTTTAGGTTTAGTTAAAAAGGACCTCTATGCTTTTAGAATCAATTAAAAAAAAACATAGAAAGTCTAATTATTACGGGCGTGAAGCTGGGTGAAGATATCTTAGGTTTGTGATTTAAGTTGGCAAACGCCCACAATTAAACTATCAGAAAGCTAAGAGTAGGTTTAAAAAGAAAAACCAGTAAGATCTTAGAACAAACAATGAAATTATGATGAAGAATTCAAAGATATTAATAAATAGGTTACTTAAGAAGCTGTCAGTAATTCTTGTAGAACTAACTCTATATGGATCATGGCCCCTCTCGAAAGATCTTTTTGTATTAATTCCCAATATGCGACTACAATCACGCGCGAAATTTGGTGGTTAAAAAAGTTTCTCGATTAAGCGTAATATGCATATGTAAGTGCAGGACATATAGAAAAGGCATGTTTCCGTTTAATTTACCCTTCATGCCAAAAAGGAATATAATATGAAAGTTCCTAGCATCCAAAAACTAGTTGTAAAAGGAAATATACATTTATTCACTCAACATTATTTTTGTTTGCAGGTAACTTTTTATTAAAGTAGTTACCCTCTCTAGACTTGGAATACTTAATGAAATCCTGAATTCCAATACTAGTTATAATGAGAAACAACATTTATTTTAAAATAATTAAGGTCGCCAAATATCTATATATGAGTAGCAAAAACACTAACATGCTCATTTCTTTGCCAATCTTGTTTTCCGGAATAGGTTTTACTTCCTAACCAGAAGAGTTACTTTACGACTCTTCACGAACATCTACTCATTTTAGGGGTTATGTCAAGACTTTAACTCTAACTTCTATCTTTTATCTTTGGTTATCTTTGGCACCGCCATGAATAAAACCATCAGGCTAGCTAACTCTATAGCTATTGAGGCAACTCTTCACCGGGTATTAACCCATCCTACGTGTCCGAAAAAGATCTAACCTCTAACCATGAAAAGCAGCCCAGCTCGGAAAAAACCGCTTATGAAAACAGTAAAAGCTATCTTAGAAAGCAATGCTTCAACTAAGCCCTGCACTTCTTGGATCTGCGAAGTTAGTTTTTATGCTTCCGGTCGCATCATGGCGGGTCATACCCGTTCCTTGTTAGAGGCGTACGCTAGTGCGAGATGGCTTGTTTAACCTTTTAATTATAAACTAGAGATATGGTCAGCGCCTTGACCTGAGTCCTCTCTTATCCATCGACCCCGTGAAGCAGATTAATATATTGTATAAGGCCAATGAGATGGTTTTACCAACTAAATATTAGTCTTATTAATTAAGAAATAGATAATAAACAAGTGGACCTATTTTCTTCCTAAGTAGTATTCAAGGAAACCATGATAGGAAAAGAGGGGAGGGACGAAGGCTAAGGTTCCCTCAAAGAGAGTAGCTCGTCTAGCGTAAAAGATGCATAGTGGCCATAGTGAATGGGTTTTTTTTAAAACTTCTTAATCCGTTTTTCCTTAAAGAGGTATTGAAGGTTTTTCCCTATGCCATTAACACATATAATGTTAAGTTGTTCCTGGTGCTCGATCGAGTTACTAAACTTTATACTCGAGCTTTCACCGGGTTTATTAAAGTACTTTAATAAACAGTTAATTTAAAGAATTTTTAACTATAATTAGTAAATAAAATTTGTAATTTCTAAAAAAAAAGTTACATTACCATTTTGCATAGATTACTTCTTAACTATAACAACCCTCATAAGCGACTCAAGTAGCCCTCAGTTTTTACCATTATGCCAAAAAGTGGACGCCCTGGGTTATCATTTAGTAAGACAACCGAAATTGATAAGGCCCTTTTCATTCATTGGAGTGCTAAAATCTGAGCTATGTGATAGCTTCTAAGACTTCGGAAAGTATCCTTTGGCTTTTCGCTATAAATGTTTTGCCATTTTCCCTCTCTTCCTCTAAATCCTGTTATCTCTGGTATTTTTAAGCTATATACAATATATTTTTTTTTAATTTTTCAAGGAAATCAAGACAAAAATAATATTTTGTGGAGACCTTTATTCATAAAGCAACTTCTATTATAAAATAGAACGTCGCGAAGTCTTAACATGTTTTCCTTTTAGCGTCCAAAGAAGTATTATAACGTCAGTTGTTACTAGTATACATGACCAACGTGAATCAATAATCTTAACGTAACTTGTTTTCTTACGTCCTTATATCCCTTAAACAAACTTGGTTAGGAAAAAAACAACTTCTGTGGAACTTGGAGATTATTGGTCAAGGTCTTCTTCTTCAGTTAGAAGATATAAACATTATTACTAAATGCATTGAAGTTTTAGAATCATGGACTGTTGGTAATTAAACTTAATTAGAAAAGCCTTAAAAACTCACTTTATTGTTTACAGGGTTGTGGCTTTCAGCGCCCACCATACCATCACCTCTTTTAGAAAACCCCAGTTTCTTTATTATAGTATATTTGTATTACTCAATTTTGTACTCTTTTATAAATTTATTGTCTTTAACAGATTATTTTTGACCAAATTACTAAAGTGTTTATTCCAAGAGTTTTTGGTGAACTTTCAAAGTATCATTATCTAATTATCCAGCATTGCGCCTTATGTGCCAAAGCTGTTACCTTGATTCAAGAAAACACGTAAGCACTTCTTTTAAGCTTTTTTTTTTGTTTTTTAATTCTTCATTATAGTCGACGCATTAATTCACGAATTTCCTATAAAACTTGGAAAAAGATGCTTATTATAATGATGAGCATAACAGATTTATTTTTTTCTCAAGCAAACAGTTTGGCTGACACTGTTTATGACAAAATGCGGAAAGAAACGTTAAAGTTTATGTCTAAGTACTTAAACAATTTAGTACTCAGAGCTTTGGTACTTTCTTGGGAACTATTAGTAGCACGTTTTCTCTGTTAAAATATATAACTAGTTTGAAATGTGGGTTGCATCGTGCTCGCATTGTTTCCCTGATCCCACCCTCTGGAAAACACTATTTGTAGATTCTTCTTCCTTTTTTTCTCTTATATTTCGATCTACTCAAAATATCTGTCTAGTTCCACGCACAGTTTTGGCGGCACGAATCTGCGTTTGTACCCCAGTGGAGTTTTCTTTCGATATCCTTGACCCATCGCCTATTGAGCATCCTCTACGGGAAAGCAACCGGAGCGGTAAGAGCTTCCAGCATGCATACTCATGGGTAGGTGTGTACGGATCGCGCTACGAGTTCGTTGCGTCGACGCTTAGCCTTGCGAGTAGGACTAAAATTGCTCAGAGTTTGTAGTCTAAGTTTAGTAACGCTCCTTTTTCCTGTTTTGCCTGCAGCCGAACCTTGTGCTAGACGGCCCGACCGATTCTTCCCTCATTGAACTGCAGGTGTCCTCATTTATAAGATTTTTATATTTGGTTATTGGCCGTTTACTTTTCTGGGATTTCACCGGCAGGTTAAAGCTTTGGAACCTTTTATAATAGAAGATTTCAATATCCAATGCTTTGTGCACTGCTGGTTTCGTATGCTCATGCTCATTGGTTACGGTCTTACTTATATCGCCTGGGACATATCACAACTCGGCTTGTATTAGGCAATCCATGCGAATTAGAGTTGTCCATCTGCTTTTTACAAGCAATGCAAGCTGTTTCTTCCATTATACTGTCATTTATAGATGTGTCCGAACCTCCTGAAGAAGTACCTCTTCCCATGTTTATCTGAAAAACAAGACTAACTAATCTGTTCATATAGGAACAAGCAACCCTGAAAGACTTTATCTATCAATCCCTCGCTCGATACCTTACCGGAAAATACTACCCACCCTTTATGCCCAGTGATGACAGTTTTATTATAAAAGAAAAAAAATTACAAAAAAGAAATAATTATCTGAAGCCCCCCTGTGGAAACAGCATCTTGAATTTATTTGGGGAGTGGCTCGTTGGTATGGTACTGACTCAGTGTCAGCGCTTCTCTATTATAACAGCAAACCCGCAGAAGCAGCCTATAGTCCATTCCACCAGGGGCGGGCTCAGGCCATCGGAATCCTCTGCCGCATCTTTTCTTCTTCTAAACAAGACGCTCGCCCCTTTTTGCTGACCTACTTGGCCAGATTTTACATCGCTGTGACAGACGCGCTAGAAAGCGGAGACGGTATGGTCACAACTCTGGTCATTATGGTACTCGTCGTTGGCGCATAAGTGGTGCAATCCAAAATGAATTTTTTCTCCTGTAGAACTCGGAAAGGTTGTTTCTTAATAAGCTACAGGGAATGAAGCTCCTAGTTGTTCCATTTCTTGTTGCATTGGAGAAGACTTTAACTTCTAAGGAGCCAAGCTATCAGGTCCCTTACTTTGTAACGCTTGAAAAATTACGCCGCACGGCAATACAGGTCCGTATATTTTACGACTCGCCGGTTGCTGCTGCCGTAACTGTTTGTATCAGATACTGCTATCTCTCTTTCTCTATCCCAACTATTATAAAGAGTTATATGCGCTGAGATGCTCTTCTAGCAATTTAAATTCCCTTCAAATTAACGATTTAAAAAGAGGGGAAGATTCGTCTACTTCGTCTTCAGATTCTGTGCACGTAAAAGTTACAAAAAATGCGCCTCACGTAGAACAGAAAAGTGTAGAATGCGAGGACGCCTTATTCAACTTTTCCGATCTTCGAGCTGTAATAAAATTTTGACAGTGATATATAGCAAACTGCGGTTACTTTGCTTTTGAGCTACAGAGCGGACCTTTTTTGTTCAAAAAGCAAGCCTACACAACTCTCTCCTTGAAGAAGACATTTTCCAATCATTGGCCCCGAAAGCATTCTGTTCACTCAACGCGCTCTCTCCTTCCCGTGGACGCCTCTTTCAAACAGCCCTCGGAATTTTCTGTGGAACCCTCACCAAGCAGTAACGCATCACTACTATTTGCCTTGTGATGTGTTTCTGTGCGTCTTGCTTATATTCAAGTTAACAACAACCACTCCTCATAGCAGTCATAACTGTATTATATAACACCATAGAACTTACTTCTAAGGGACCTTTAAAAAGCACTATTAACTTGGTACTAATTTCTTTCGGTATTGTATTGTTGTTGGTGATATATGTTTCTGAACAATGCTGAAGTCTAAGACAAAAAGTACAAGCTTTCAAGAAAACCATCAGTTCAATAAGAAAGAACTTTACCTTGGAAAAAACATGCTTTACTACACTTTACTCCGAGCTTTCATCAGTGAAAAGTACGCAGACAATCTCAAAACGTTATTGTATATCTTTTATTAGTCATCTGTTTATATAAGCAAAAACCTTTATTACCAATGAAGGTGTATATTCCACGTCTATTTAGAAAATGTCCATACTTCCGCCCCTACCATGGCTCAGAACATTGCCAAAAGTCTTTTTTATATAAACTCTTACCACCGGCTTAAAAATATCAAATTTTTTAGTCGTTTACCGGAGACTTTCGGTCGAAAATAATGCTTGGGCAACTTCCGTGGCGCTGACCGCTTTCGACGTTCTTGCAGGCTTTGCAGCTTTGCAAGAATATCTGGTGGTCAAGGATCTCGTCTATTTCCTATGCAGTTATATTGACGGCTGCATAAGACTGCCTCCCCAACGACAAACGCAGGATCTTCATTTAAAAATTGCAGGAGCATTTCGTTGCTTACTGGCATGGAGTGGCACATCCCCTGTTCTCAGCAATGAGGGCGTTCTCCAGCAAGTGTTACAGGTGGGGGCCGCATATTAATACTCGACCAGTGAATCAGAATGTGTCATCAAAACTGTTAGGCTATAGAATTAGGTTTAACTGGAAAGTGCAGTGGTGTAATGCGCGGTGATAACAATTTTAAAAACCTCTCTTTGCGAGAATTTGCGGTAGAAAAACCGACTCCCCCCTCTAAAAGGTAATATTATATCTTTTAAATTTAAGATGCGGATATCGCATAATTCTCGCAGGGTAGAGAATACAGCTGAGCAGCTCCTGTTATTCCTTCTAGGCAATACCCAAAATAATTTTTCATCACGGACTTTGCTTACAGCAAGCCAAGGGGTTTTTTAGTTGGCGCTATAATATACTATATGCAATATTTTACCTTAGATCTTTTGATAGATAAACCCTAAAGAAAATGTTCGGCATTTCGCTGTTGATAAAAACTTTATTATATCCTTTGCCGAATCCGAATTGGAAAATTCTTGTAAACGTTCTTCGATCATTATAATTAGGGACCAGAACGGTTATCTCTGTACTCTTATGGTACTCGCCTAATCATAACTTATCACCCGTTTTACCCAGGACTTTTCTCTTTTGAGTACCGCTTAAAATTGCTAGAAGAAGAAAAATCGGGATCCCAGAGAAGTCAAAGGGAGCTCCGACTTACAAACGTTCTTGATCAAAGTAAAGTAAGGCTGCCGTAAAATAGTAAAGTGTGCATTTGTCGACTCTTATTGGTTATTTTTTTTTCAAGTCTGTACCCAGTTATGACGAAGGCGATTTACCATTGGCGGAACTTCCTCACTACGGAGAAGTATGCGCTAACACGTATCAGTTGCATGGGTTATTTTAATTTGCAGCTGATTTAGTGTTACCTGCCTTCACTCATGAGCACTGTTCCGGAGGCCGAACTGGACTTTTTCTCTCAGCTCCACGATATATGCTACTGGCAGTTCGAGCAGGAGTCGCAGACAGATGGCTCTTCTGACTCAGCCTCCGCGATTCCTGTGTGATGCTGCGTGGCGTTTATCAACTCTTTATTTACCTTGATAATAGGTAGGAGAATACCCCCCATACTCCCCGGTTAGAATGGGCTCCCTTAGGGGGCGGCAATTTATGTCTCACTTAAACTTTATTTCTTTTGAAAATGGACCAGCTAACTCTCGCCAGCCACGTGTTGTAGAACTTTTATCGTCTGAAGACTTCTATTCTTCCCTTCAAGTACAATATTATATATGCATAACAGGACAAGTAATAATTTTGATGTGTGCGTCTAGGAACTCGACTCCTTACCTGAATGCGAAACAGAGACTTTCACGATATTTTATGCTAGGAAGGGCATGTGTCTACCCCACCAACTATTGGAGCATTGGGAGCCTGTATGGAACTCTAGCGAATTTATGAGTTTTCTTCAAACGTAATTTTTTTAAGTTTATCTTCATTATACTCTACTAATAACGTGTTTTGTACGCACCAGTTTAGGGAGAGCGAGAGGATGTGCTACATTGCGATACTTCAAGTATTTCACCTCCCATACTTCAAGCCCAGAAGTATTTTTTTACAGAGATAACTTTGGAGAGGTTCGTTTGAAAATTAGAATATTCGCCATTTCAAACTGAACCTCTTTAACTTGTGTTGCAGCTAGCCATACCCTTACATACTTTGCATTATAATAAAGGGCTCCTGTAAAAATTTATTAAAACCATTTAGAGAGTTTATACAGATTTATTTTTTGTTAAACGAATAGACTGTCTTCCACGTGCCAGCTTGCATTGAAGATCTTTACCCTTCTGACGGTGAATTTGGCGATCTGAAGCTTGACATTGAGTGCACCAGCGAAATTAAAAAGGAAACAAACATCCGCAGCGTTCCCTATGATAATTATCCAGAGAGCTCTAACACGAGCCGCAAACCGTGTAATACTAGTGCCGGTAGTGAATGTGCGTGTTTAAACTGCTTCGTTAAAGTCCACCAAGATAGAGTAACGTTGATTGAAAAGGCGAATATAACAGTCAAAAGGTTGCGGTTTACGTTTCCTGTCACCTGCACCTGTTAAGTATCTTTATTGTCGTTAAACCATTCAGTTGCGCCTTAATAATCTGGCTAGAAAATCTACAGGATATCCCTGTTTTCCCTTTTAAGGATTCAACTAAAGTACGCATGTGTAACAGTGTTTTACATTTCACGAGATTTACAGTTTGTTATGCACCGCCAGCTTCTCATATACATTTATCCTCTGAAACGCAACTTGTATAGAATTATTATCAGCGGACCCCCTTTACATGGTCCTCTCTTAGATGGTACAATACTTGTCCTGTAGCCGTTACTTACTTTGAGCAAAGTTAAACTGTGCTTAACTTCGATTATGAGCATCGTTTCTTTTTTTTTCTTATAATTATTTACTTATTATTTATCTTTATAGGAATGATTGTCAATAACGAAGTGCTTGGTCGCATGACTAGAGCCACCCTCTTAAACTTTTCTAGGTACTGTAAAGCCAAGTGAGCTTATGCCAGCAGTGAGCAAAATCTTATGATCAGGCATTTACGAATTAATATGGACGTTATGACAAGACCTAGCCACGTCAGGAAACGTTTCATCGAGGGGATCGCCAGTAGATACCACCGAAAAGAGGGCCAAGACGATGTGCCGATCGAACTTCTTTATAAATAGTTGTTAGTATTAAAGAACGTAAGGGTTAAGTACGGAGCACACAATTCTTATGACACTTTTTTTGGTGAAATTATTCCGGGTCTAATATAGTATATAAGTTTGTAAAGCATAAAATAAACTAAGGTATTTAACTCACGATATCATATAACCAAAGCGAAACTGTATTATTTTTTAATATCAATCAATAATTTTGTTTTCTTATTGTTGCTTTTTGGCTCAATCAATACGTAATTTTTGTTTTACGTTGTCAGCGAATTAGCTGAATATATGTAGCAAGCTTCACGCTACCCAAGTTAGTATTCGAGTTATGCTTGCTACATTCTGGCTAACTTGGAAATGACAACGCTAAAATATTTCTCTTGGGTATCTAAAAGTTGCCTAAAGGCGTTAAAAAAATAAATGACTACACCATTACAGCGCCAATTATACTGTTTCTGTTATAAACAACGGATGGAAAAAAGCTGGTAGTGAGTAGAAAAATTAGTTTTTAAAAGGTTAATGCTAAACCTTAAAGCCTCCAGAAAACAGTAGGGTAAGTATGTAATAGTACCACAAGTACACTTTTATAACATTCTAAGTAGATGGACAGAAGGATAATCTCTTCCTGACATAAGATATACTACTACATATTTCCATGAAAAATAAAGAAAAATTAAAAATAGTTTTTTCCGACCAGTCCAATTTATTTAACCCCAAAACTTTAATAACTTTTTTAACTTTATCCTTTTAATAACACTCCTTCCTACAAATTTTTATTTTACGATACCTCTCGGATTATATTCGAAAGTAAAGAGTGGTAGCCACTGACGGCCCTCGCCTCAACAGAATGCGTTTAAAAGCCTGAAGAAAGTGCACCCTAGGAAAGATAAAACCTTCAAACGTATCAGCATAAAAATTATACGCTCATTTTTAGGTGCGTCCTTTTTCGTCAGCGAGCTACATTTTTCTATGTTATGCTATTATGGCGACCAAAGCAAGTTTCAAAGAAATCACCTTCCGGTAAGAAAACCTTACTACACAGGGATCTTGGTCTTCAAGCCATTAAAACTAGCTAGTGAAGAATTATTTCAAAGAGTTTACTGTTCGGTGACTAGATGAAGATAAACGTTTTATCTTTGTCCTCACTATAACATTTTATTTGAATACGTTGTGCCATAAGATATATGAATACCAGATGGGTAGACTATAAATACTAATAAACCAGTTTGGATAATTTATCTTTTACAAGAAGGTTTAAAGTTAAAAACAATACCATTTTAACCTTATTATAAATAATAAAAGAAATAAAAAAAAAACATCTCTATTTCATTATTGTCTAGAGATAGCTCAACGGCCCTCGAGACGAAAAAAAGTAGAGAGCCAAGAAGCTTCTTTAGCCATCTCCTCCAAACTTCTCGAGGGACGTCCATCTTTATCGTGTTTCGCTAGCTTGAAATTATATAATTATATGACGCACTCAAGCGCGCGCTTAACGTACCTCTGTGTACACTTCATCTGAATTTTCGTAATCACCCTTTTTCCTTGGAATAATGTGAACATGGACATGATCAACGGTTTGTCCCGAATCTGGTCCGTCCTATGGTTGTGCAAAGATTAAGTTTCGTTCTTAGATGGCGGCTCTTCGTGGGAACATACATCATGGCATTAAGTTATACGAGGTTAAAATTTACTTATTACAAACTTGAGCAGTTGCTCAGTAAATTTAACGCAGACCGCTTATTTTCGCTGACAATTTAAATTTTTTGTGCTTTACATTTTTAGTTTCCATGAATTTTATAATATAAATATGTAGAAATAAGAATAGTATGCGGTCAAAAGACATTTAAACCTGAGAAAAAGTACTTAGCTCCACCCATTTAAGCTACGAAAGATTAAAAAGAAAATCTAGTTCGCGTATTACGCTGTAAATTTGAGCCGGCAAGCCGCAAAGTAGATGAACTCCAGCACTTTTTTATAGGTGTGAACCCGCAACACCTACGCTGTCTATTATTATTACGAGGTCGTGCTGAAAAAAGGAAATGTAGTCAGTAGAACATTTCACTTGAGATGGCAACGATAGAAACAGACAACCAGGAGTGTATAATCATAGCAGGTCGCGAACTAAATAGATTATCCTATATTGTAACTAGTAAAGAGGTTAAGTTTTAGTCAAGGAATATCCGGTTTCCTCTAGTGAGTACTCAACCCTCTTAACGAGCTTTTATTAATAAGCTCCCCTACCCCAAATAATATGTTTTCTCGATTGACACCCGAATCTAAGCAGCAAAAATTATCTCTTAACAGTACTGCATTATGAGCAATATGATAACTTAAAAAAACCTCTATTTCATCCCTTTCTTTGAATAAATATTAAAAAATTCACCACGTAAAGTCATTTTAAGAGATTTGATAACGCAAAAAATTAAGTTATCATGCTAAGTGTTTTTCCTTACCGAATTAAGTGTTATTTGAAACCAACAAAAATATATTATAGGTTCCTTATTAAAAACAAAAATTTGCACGTCAATAGTATAATTACAACTTAAAAAGAAATAAAAACGGGTAAACTAAAACCAACCGGTAACAAAAAATTCGTTACCCACACAATAATCTCTTAAGAGGCAAGCGTATCAAACTTAAACATTTATATATTACTAAACGTGACATAATAATATTCTCAACAACCCACAGAATTTTAAATAACAAAATACCCTACAAATCCAACGAGCAGAGGTAGAAGTTACATTATCGGTATATTAGGCTGAAGACTAGAATACGGAGCAAAAGTAACTGAGTGTGAGGGAGCATATTATTAACGCCCCTAACTCGACTCCAAGAAATTATTTAAATGTTCAACCGAAGGCCGAGGTGTCGATCAACGTCTTAAAAAATTACGGACTCTACATTATAAACTAATAATCATGCTATAAGTCAATTGGCCTTAACCTTCATTAAGTTATTTTTTCTAAAACATTAAATAACTTTATATTAAAAAACCCAACAGTTTAACGCAAATACTCAAATAGTTAATGACTTTCACAGCAAAAAAAAAAATTACCTAATCACCCTTATATAACCCAAGCTTAAAATTAAGACCAGTTTCTATATTGCTATTAAATTATTTGGTTTACGTAAAGATTTTACTAATTAAATAAAATAACTCTAATGCAAACCTGTATGCAAAAAGTTAAGGAGGTGGCTTTAAACTCACGTTCGATAACAATCCCTAAATCTATGTAAAAAAAAACATAGAGATTTCAATTACAGTTGTATACCCACTTCTTGTACAGTTTTAAAAAGATCAGTAATTTCTTTAAAGGATAATTCAGCATATCTTTTTACTACCCTGAATTTGAATAAAAATATAAAATAAAATGTACGTAAGCTGATAAACCTACTTACCTTCGCGGACAGACAAGTACGTGGCCAGGGACGACTGGCTTCAGATTAACGAATGCAAAGCTACAATGAGGGTATAATTAATAATATAATATTACATTTTTTGACATAGAATGCACTAACCTAAGCCTGGTTGAATGGAAAACCTCATCTCCGGTAAGAGAAATAAATGAGCCAAAGCTAAAGGTCATGGCTTCTATCGCTGGCGTTAAAGATAGAGAACTTTATCAAATTCTTAGTAACGCGTGATTTTCTATATTTGGTAACCTTGCACGGGCGTTTTGTAGTCCACTCTTGATAAGTGGACGCTCACGCGTACTTCAAAGAATTAGAAAAAGTATTTTAGGTTTCAAGTCTCAACACATGTCTCTTCAAAACTACTCTTCCATTCTACTTCAATTTATTCATCCATGTTTACCAATATTCAGCAACTAATTCACTTTTTCGAAAGAGAAGCACTCAAATTCTACGCAAAATTGTGAACTTACCTTTTTTAGGAATTGGATAATCGCCGTTCTCCCCAGCTTCAAGAAGTTAAACCACGAACACCAGTGTTTATCTCATAAAGCTCAGACTCTTCTATGATTGATCCGTTTACGGAAGATGTCCATCCTTTGAAAAATTATAAGTTAGGGTTAACAAAACATGGCACTGGTTTATAACCCTCTAGGTTCCTTGTACACCAGCAGCTCGCAATGGGAACGGGAGAATTAAATCTATGGAATTTAGGCTTACAATACAGTGTTTTAGTGCATTAATCCTCTAAAAACCGTTGTGCTACATCGTTAACTTTTAGTTTCCTCTTAATAAAGTAATATAATCTGATGTTTTAGAGTCTAAGAGGGGGCGATTGAAGAGGTAACCACGAATGAAGAAACCTCGTGAACTAATCCACAGTATTGCTAGCTTATTACCCTACCGAGACGTTGTTGATAGACTAGGACAACCGCGGGGAACTTGATTATAATTAACTGTTTTATTTTTTAAAAATTCTCTGTCCGACGCTATTATAAATGGAAAGCCCCCTCTATTACATTTAGGCTTCCTTCCAAATCTAATGAAAGTTCCCTCAGTCACTTAATACTAAGTGTAACATGTTATGCACTGAATCACTCTTAATTGATAGTAAACCGAACAAGGCCTAACAATTTATTTTTTCCTTTAAAACAAGTTAAAATCTTGTATGTTATAGTCTTGAAAAATCTATACTTTATATTAAATCGAGAGGAAGGGGAGTAGCCTTCTACCAACTAGGTTAATATAAGGTTATTTTCCTTAGGATAAAGAGCCTCTTACCTTTAACCCTAACAGTTCTCCTGTAACCTCTACTTGTTCGTTATTCGTTAATTATAATTTAACATCACCTATAATTGTTATTTTCATACATTCCGCTTTTCTTTTATCCTCTTTATTTATTATTACGGTTTTTAAAATTTATAACGCTATTTTCGGTTAAGTTTAACTCTTTTTATCTTCATGGAACGTTATAACCTTTGTTTGGATTACTTTTTTATTATTGTTAGTTTCATTTTTAATATTTAGTATTTATTATTATTATCATATATAATAAATTGGCATCAAAACCAAGAATATCACGTTTTTTTAAAGGACGAAACAATCTCGTTTATGAAAAGCAAGCACACAAACGTTTATCCAAAGCGAAACTTTTGCTTAAATATTTTTCTTGCCTCGCTTTCTTTTCCTCAATAACTAAGAGTTGTTTGACTGAGCTCTAAATAGACTACTATATAGTTTATTGTGGGAAATGCAGTTAAGACAGTTAAGACCTTATATTACACTGCCCTACTGAATATGACCTTTTAAAGACAGTAGTGAACTGAAAATTAGTGAAGGAAATAGCTTCTGGTGAAAATTAGTATTGACCATTTATATTTATGTATTTTCAGCTTTTCGTCATTGTATAATTAAGAAGACGATGCGATCTTTAAGGGATTTAAAGCGTACCTTGGATAATTTCATGGATCTGTTGACAATAGATACTGTAGTGAACAATATAGGTGTAATAAAATTACTCTATGATCATCTTTTTCCCGAAAGCTTATAATAACAGGCGCAAGGGCCCTCCTTTGCATCCCTCTTCCATGCTATATAATATGGCGACCACGAGACGGGTAAATATACAATAATAACAATCAGCCAGTTAGCTATTGCTTTCTAAGATTGGTTGCTGAAATAAGGTACTTTCTACCCCGCTCTCTCTCGACTTTGGCGTAAAGCAATATAATAGATTGTTTCTGCTTCTTTCCTTTTCCACGTCATTCGCTATAGTTGATGTATTAACCCGGGCGCACTAAGGGCAAGATTTTAATTTCTTTTAATAAGGAAAAAGTTTTAGCAATACCATTACGGCTTTATATAAAATGAAGCAGAAAGATAACTTGGATATACCAACTTTGTAGATAGAGTAATAATTGTCGTCGAAAGTAAAGTTTAATAGGACTAACGTTTAAAGCATTGATATTACCACAGAAAAAAGGAAACCCTACCCTCTAGCACCCTAAAAACATTTGAGTATACGCCCGGCGGACTTAAGCGGTCAATTAACTAATATTCAATTTTCCAGCTCGGAGTTCATAAAAAGTTGTATATAACCAATACTCTATGCCTCGCTTGAAAGCAAAGACTAAGGGCAACCCTACTTTAACTGCCTCATCTACTCTAGCTGCACAAAAATTAGAGACTTTTTATTCCAGTTTTTCTGGCTTTAAGAGCTTGAATACCACGCTAACACTCGTAACATGTTTTTCGCATTTGTTTTTGCTTTTGCGAAATTTTAAAATAAGGAACACGAGCTTGCACCGGATCTAACCCCTGTCTTGAAAAATATATATAAGAAACTTTTAAAAAAAGATAACTTAACCCGCGCTAAAGCTTTAAATCAGTTAGAAAATGAAGGTTTATAACTTTTTGACTAATTAATAATTTTCGTTTTATTATTTGTTTATTTGGACCTTATACTGATCGTTCGGTTTTTTATATTATTTAACTTTATTTATTAAATCTAAGTAATTGTAACTTGCTATAACTACTTCCACGGACTAATTGAAGTTACTGTAGTTATTAAAGATAAAGATGCTTACCGGACTCTACTATATAGGTGGCCTGAATTTTTTAATAAGTTTGCTTTGGATGCTGATAGGTTTGTAGTCTGATACTTTTTAGGTTATACTTCATAATTTTTATCTAGGTCCATCCGGTTAGCGTGTTTTAAAGTGCACTCAGTTCTGATGGAGAAGTCAGTTAAAGTTAAAGCCTCTTTTTACAAGAAGTACTGTTTCGCGTATGACGGTTAAGTTTAAATTTATAAATAAAAATTCAGAATAGCAGTGGTCTGGATAGTCGGTCGATTTGACAGTGCAGCGGAGGTGGCGGGTATTACCTATATACCTTCAGCCAATCCACTTTTTAAAAACCGCCTTTTTACTTTTTACTTTAAAGATCTTGCTTTATCCTGTTTTGAAAGAACCTTTCCTCAAAGTAAGCATGGTATGATAAGCTCTATTAAATCCTACGGTTATTACTTGAAGAAACTTTACAACAAATTTTTTTTTGTAGCTGAGGCGATAAGATTTGTGCAGGATGAGCTTTCCTCTTACGTTCTGGCTTCTGTCGCTCCCCTTGTTTTTGAAGATCATTCGGCAGACTTTGTTGACGCTCGTGAGGTTTGCTTACCAGGCAATTTTATTCAGCTTAGATTCTCGAGCATGACTTCTAATTATTTAGGTTTTTGGCGCTATAAGGGTGCTCGCTCTCTTGACGCAAAGTGTTGAAGTCTTGAATGTAAACTGATTTTACCTTTTTTGTATTATCTAGATCGTCTAATGTATATACCACTGATCTGCCAAACCGCTTTGTATAGCTATAATTAATTCTGTTTGTGTTTATTTTTCTATTAATTATTTGTACATCTTTTTTTTGCAGAAAAGCTTAACCACTGCTTTAATAACAAAGAAGTTTTGGGCCTTTCTTAAAAACGAGGACGCAATGGTTTTCTACTCTTGGCTTTAGCCCTATTCCGTCTACTCATCTACCATCCACCAGATCCGCTTGTCCATGTATGAGTTTGTTACCACATGTGTAGAATGTAGCCTTAAAGTTTTGGAAGTCGCTCTTCCTGTGGCTTCTCCCGCTGTTTTGTCTTCCATAAGTTTCTCCGCCTCACTTCTTTCAAGCGTTTCTTTCTTATCCTGCTGGTGTTGCAGCGGAGAAAAGACTTCAGAACATCTCTGCTATGTGGAACTGTGTTGTCTCGTATTCTTCAAAACTTCCAAGCTGTTGGGCTTTTGTCGACTATCGAGAGGTGGCGTTTCAGGTTGACTCCCCTCTAGCTCGCTAAACTCTGGTACAACCCCCAGGAAGTTGCCCCGTGCCTTCATAAGGCTCTCGAGGACTGCCCCCCAGCCACTGCATGCGCTTTTTATCCTTTCATACTGCCATTTCTTTCCTCTTTGCCGCAGGGTAGTATCTTTGGCCACCATTCTATTATGAAAGTTTTATTGTTTCTTTTAGCTCTCATTGCTAGCGTAGACCTGGTTGTATTTGTACTGGAGACCATATGTTTGTCGACTCAGCGCTCCTGTTCTTTCTTGGATGCATTCAATTTATATTTTCCTTATCGACTGTTGTTTTAAAAGATGACGCGCAACATTTGGAAGCAGCCACTTTAGCTTATATGGAAATTTTAAAGTTTTATTTGGTTATTTTTATGTATTTCTCCACTTTAACGCTATTTTTTCCTTATAACTTTCTGTAGCCCCTTCACACCGAGCATGTAGCTCAACTCGAAGATCATCTACTGTCGATTTTCTTCTCTTCCGTACAGAGTCCTGTACGGAACGATATGTTTATTGCTGCATGGTGCAGCTTCATATTACGGGCGCCTTCCCTTTCTTATAGTTTTTGTACAACAGGTGCAAAGTTTTTGCTGAAGTAGTTTACTGGTTATCTACTACCGAGCACTTCGACGACGTATATGCAATTTTATTAATTGTCATTTTTATTTTAAAATTCAAACAGAAATGTTTGGCTAAGTCTTTCTGTGCCAAGTTAAGCGCTCAAATTATTTGTACAGATGTATTTCTGTTGCTTCGAGGCCCCTTCTTTCGGTTATGGTTAATGGTGTTTTTACTACAAGCATTTGGATACCATTTCTAGCGGAGAAGTCAAGTTCTTAGAAAACCTTCTTTCTTCATTTCGCCCTGACCAACGTGAGTTGACAAATACATCGACCGTCCTTCCGTGTACGCCCTCACGACGAGAATTCACTAGTACTTCACTGTCGAGATGCACTTTTGAAGCTTTTAAAGCCGATAATGGAGAAATTGACCAGTCAACCTGAAAGGTAACAGCATAGAGCTCAACTCGCAGCCTCTCATCTTCTACGACTGCCTTCCAGTCTGTCAACTTCTCAGTTGCAGTTGCTCGAGATTATTATAAACTCCTTTGAGTGCGACAGTCGTTTGCTACTTATGTTCTCAACACCAGGTTGAATACTTACTAATAATGTTCTCCGTATATGTCGAACTGTATCGCAGGCTCTTTTGTCAAGGAGCTTTCCCCTGCTTTGAACTTCCTCAACTCTTTTGTGTGTCCCTCTATCAGTCGTATGCCTGTCTCTTAAGTTGACTTTCATTTGTTCCGTCGTATTGGTTGTACTGTTTACAGAAGGACATCGAGCTCTCTACCACGCGAAAGTTAGCTCGCTTGGCTGCCACTCTTTTGGTTTGCTCCGAAAAAATTGAGAGAACTCAACTTTTCCATGCTTTTACGATTTTTTTGTTGAATGATATTTTTGCTGGAAGCAAAGAAACTGTTTTATATCTCACTTTGGAGTTTATTTCTTCTTTAAAGGAGCGTAAAGCCTTAGCTGGCATCACTGAGAATATTCCTTTCAGCGATTTTTTGTCGAGTCAGTTAGGTTGTTTATTGCTTTTTGGAGACAAATCCTCTGAGCAGTTTCAAAGTGCTTGCGCTGCGCTCAGAAGCATAGTCGCTCACGTCATAGGTTAGACCCGATCGTTCATCTCGTCAGCACGCACTTTTCTCAAGCTATATCGTTACAATAGGGTATCCATTATTGCGTCACGATGTTGCTGTGGCAGCGATTGATTTGCTGTCTAAAGCGTGTGGCAAGGTCTTACTTGGTAGATCCGCGGTATTACTCATTCTCCAAGTTGTCTCTGTTTTTCAACTTATTTTCTTTTCTTGTTCTACCAGATGGAAAACGAGTGTATTAGGTGTCTAGTGTTGTTTGCTTTACAATGCCTTGACGGGTACTGCTCTCGAGCAAAAGTAGCCTTCATGGCACTGGCCCGTCTTGTTTCTTCCCTTTTCTTTCTTATTCAATGTCCTCTTCTTACGCCAACGTTATGAGTCGAGCTTATATTCCTTTTACAGCTCACATGACAGAAGGAAAACATAATTTAGTAGAACCGATCCTACTAAAGGCGTGCCACTTCCTTCAAGGCTGCGATTCAGTTCTGTGGGACCACATGTTGCTATCATATTCGCAGTTGGCCCATCATCTCGCTGTGTCCCTCGAGTGCAAACAGTACGTCCCCTGGTATTAGTCAGATACGAATTTATCCATCTTTGTAGGCAATGTCTCCTTGAATCCTCCAGAGAAGCTCTTCTTCGAATGCCCCTCCGACAGGAAGACCAAGTTAAACTTCTCCGTTGGTGCTTACTTGATGAACACACGCAGTTCTCTCTGGTCGAAGCTCTTCCAGTTTTCCAAGAGCCTCAACTACTATTGGCCGGTATTCGCCATAACGCTCATTATTTTTGGTGTAGCTGCACTTCTCTCAGGTTATGACCTCTTAAATGAAAGCCCTTCTTTTACCGCCGGAAACTTTATTCTTTTGCTATCTCTGACACTCTACAGTTTGGATTGTATAAGGGCCCTTGCTCTCGTTTTGGACCTGAAAGGTAAAGACATAGAGCGAAATGTGCTTTAAATGCACTCCCCCCGTTTTAAAAGGAAGCAGTGGCAGTGCTGTAAAAGAGGCACTGCTAAAGGAGTTTATCTTTGTAATGATAGCACTTTCCTTTTCAGAGAAGTTCGTAGAACAAAAACCTTTTAAAAAGGTAGTGTAAAGGTATACTAGCCAAGTTATTACATAATTAATAACCTCGTAGGAAAGCAGGACCGTCATGAAGGAGCTTTATTCTGCTCTAAAAGATCGTGAGAGCTATCTTCGCGCGGTGCCTTCAGAAATCGTCTGTCTTATATTTGAGGACGTTTATTTTGAGTTGATAAAGAAGGGAACTGTTTATAGCGCATATGTATTGGAAATTATAAATGCTCATTAGCGGTTTCCATGCTTTACTCTCGTAAATTAGGCATCTGTTAAGTTACTTCGCTTTTTTCCCGACTGCGTGAGCACGATTGAGTTTACAGCCCTTAAAGTTGTTTGACTAGCTTTTTTTCCTCGTTTTCCTTTTTGTTATGCCCTACTAAATGCAGCGCTGTGAATCGAGTCCGTTCCTCTCTTTGCTTTTGGGAGAGCTGGTTGCTCTCTTTTGTTCCCAGCCTCTTTTACCACCAAGTCCACGCGAGCATAGTGGCGCTTCTCCCTGTATTGCTTCAACACTGTCTTCCTTGCAAGCTAGTATGTTGGAGGAGCTGGATGCTTTTATTATAACCGAGCACACGGGGGACGTTAAACGCAAAACTTGTATCTTTTTGTATTCCATTTCAAAATGCCACTCGCTTTCTCTTACCTTTATTACTTGGGGGGAAGATATGCTCAGCGTGTTCGCAAGTTTGTTGCTACCTGGCCACGAAAACAGTATATTGAATTGCTCACTCCTGCTAAGTAACTTTAGGGGCTATCAACTTGAGTTGCTCACGAATAACCTTGGTCCCCTTTTTTTGACTGGCTATTATATTCATAAGAATTGTTTTAAAGCTATTTGGTACGTTAGAAAAGCAGTACGCCATCCAGTTAGGAAGACTCTTTCGCTTTTTTGCTTCTTACTGTGGTCGTGAGCTGCCTTATAACTTTAGAGAACTGATCACAGTATGCGAAAAACTTGTAGCGGTGCCTCCTCTTTTCTTAGTTCGCAACGTCGATTCTCCCTCATCGTTATAACAACTATAGCATGAGGGCTTAGTGCTGGACTCAGAAGAAAGCATTCTATTATGTTCTCTTTTTACAGAAACTCTGCTTTGCATCTATTCAAGGGCAGATGTTTTTGAAAATTGTATATCACCAGGTATCTATTTTTTGTATATTGCAATGGCTGGTTTTTGCAGAGAAACTTCTTTATTAGAAAGACTCCAAGCGGTCTTTGGGAGCTTTATAGATGTGGTTTGCTTTTTCTCTAAATTGAAAGGTTAGTACCTAACATTGTGTTTCGCACAATCTCCTACTGGCCTCTACCTTAGATGCTTCTGTGGCTGGTTTCTTGTTTGCTGATAACTTGCGACAAATGCTGACTTTTTTAACGAAAAATAACCATTTTACTCCTCTTTTCGGGGTGGGATGAACAAAAAGGAATACTCTTTGCGCTAACTTAAGCCTTTTTCTCCAGAGCTTTAACGATATGATACTCCGGCTCGGACCAATATTGTTTTGCGATATTATAAGCCTCCAATATTCGGGTATTTCTCTTTCGTAAAGAATAATGTGCTCTTATGATAGCAGCTCTCTTTTCGTGGAGCTTTCTTACTTTTACTGCCTCTGATGCAACAAGAAGCAGGTAAAATCAGTAGTAAGGTTAACAATAGTTGCCTATTATTGGCCCATACTACAAGTTAGTAACTTTATAACCCTCTATAATTTCAAGCACAACAACCTCAATAGCGCTTTCCCCGAAGAAGTTTTTAAGGGCGACTATTCTTTGCCCGTGGCGGAGGTGATTGAGTATTACTACTGATTGTGGTTTCTCTTTGGCTTTATTTTGTTATTTTGCATTATAATTTTCAGAGTTGTGTGAGAGATTCGCTACCACCGTTTTTAAAGGTAAAATATACAGTGTTATATTTTCTTTTTTTTACTCTCTTAAACTTTCTGCACTCAAATTAGGAGTTTATTACATTGCTTGAGCAAGAAGGGGCCACTTTACGACATCAAGGCTTTATTCTTTGGTGGCTGCTCTTGATCCGTTTTTTGAAGTCTATCGACCATGTTTCGGTTGTTTTTTTCGATCTAAAGCAGTTGGAGTTTATAACTTTGCTATTATTAGTTGCGAAGGTCGTATATACACTGCCTCCAGAGGAAAAACTGTTTTTTATCTGTTCTTGAGAATCTTGTCGAACACCTTCCCTCCTTAAAGGAAGCATTGAAGCTGCAACTTCTTAGACCAATCGACTGTAAAATGTAACTACATTTCCACCCATCTTCTTTTAAAAAATGCAATCAGTTTATACTCTGGGAGATGCACACTATTGTGATCTCTCCTTTTTATCGGGGGTACTGTACGGAGAACTGCTGTCTGTAGTTCCCGCTTTGTGCCGGAGTTGGTTTGGTTCTTGTCCTCCACACCAGAAAGCCCTGATAGAGACGCTTACGCTCGAGTCTGTGTCGCCCCCGCTCATCCAGAGAGAACTCGACTTTGCCTCTGTAGTCTTTCTTATTGGGCATTTTGGTCCTAACCTTATAAATTATTTTTTGCTGAAGTCGAAACAGGCTGAGCTTAATGCTCGTGTGAGTCGGCGGGCCAGAAATATTCACATATCTTACGAATGTATTTTTCAAATGCGTTTTCTTTTCGTGGTTTGAAGATATATTTTATAGTTGTCGACGGCACTACGATGGAGTTGTCCGTGCAGATCCCTTCGAACTATCCGCTTAGCAATGTTTTCTGTTGTCTTGCGTCTGTTATTTTATTGTCGGACCGCCCAAAAGGTTCTTGTCAGCTGTGAATCTTATAAAGTCCAGAAAACCGAACAGGCACTAATAAAGTCCTTATCGACTTTCTTACTCTTTCAGGTGTCTGTACAGCTCGTACCAGCGCTCTTTTATTACAACTGCATATCTTGCTTTAATCGCAGAATGGACCCATTGCGGAGGCAATCTCTTTATGGAAGCATAATACAGACAAACGATACGCAGGAATTGCAGAATGCGTCATATGCTATTCAGTATGCTGTACTTTTTTAGTTTATACCTCATTTTCAAATTATTGCTTAACGTTTAGGTTATACAACCCTCTGACTATTCGCTCCCGAAATATAAATGTCATGTTTGTAGAAACAAATTCCACGTTTCATGTTTATGTAAATGGTCCGACTTTTAATGGCTCTTCTTTTAAAACTGCAGAGCCCTTCATTGTATAATGTTTATATAAATATATTCTCATAGGTATCAAACAAGTCTACGAACACTATGTCCCCTTTGCAGAAGCCCTCATAATATGATGAAATAGTGTCATTTCTTTCGTTTATGGCGCACAATAAAACAGTTTTGTACCTTTAATAATTTAAAAAAGTTGTTTACTATATGATTTTTCCTTGCGGTATCTCTCGCAATTGGTCGGAAAATGTAACCCTAGTAAAATCAAGAGTTTATTGCGGCTTACTTTTAATAGTTTAGTAAAAAAAACTGAGAAATTTAGCCAAACTTGTATTCGATTATTTACCGACTCCCACCTAGTCAATGACCTTTCTCTCACTGTCTCCTCGTTATCATTATATAAGTAGATATGTTCACCCTTAAAAATAGGAATACTGGTAAATAGGTAGAGGAATCAGTTGGGCAATAGTCAATTTATTATAGAGAAAAAAGGATTTCATATTGTTTTAATTCTTTTAAATCTTGTGTAACTTAAAAAAATTGACTAGTAAATCTGAAGACTATAGTCTAACGAAAGTTTAAAAGAAGGTCAAGGTTTTTCACTATTATTTAGCTTTATTGTAGGTTAGATAAGTCTATTTACATACTGCGCCCAGACTCTTATCGAGGGTTCCTTGGTCGTTTGAGCTTTGCCTATATATTTAAAAGTGTTTTTTTGAGAGCACGATTCAGGCAACAAATTTAGAATACTTCGAGCTCTCTTTCACATATAGTCACATACATTATTCAATGGGCTGTCTCATTTGAAAAGTACTTCTCCGCATGGATATTCACGTAGTTACTCATTGTCCTCTTTACTACTCAAAAATATTGATTAAATTATCTGTTAATATGGCCGTCGTGGAGGTCGAAGTGGAGAGAACACTGAGTCCCGCCTTCCCCCATCGTCTAATCACAGATTTAAAGGTATGCAGAAAAGTAGAGGTAGGCCAATAAATAATAACCGATAAACAAATTACGATCCTTGTGATTAAGCTCATTTTGTGACAACTGAGGAATCTTACTACCTGTAAGAAGTTGAAGATAGTTAAAATAGACTCTCTGGGTTCTAAACAAGTAGCTAAGATAGTGTCAAAAGTTTAAAGATTAAGCTACATTGAATTAGAAGTTATAGGCCTAACAGCTTATTTATTCAAGGATCGGTACGCTCAATCTATTGAGAAACAACAAACTGTAATAGGGAAGCATCCCCAATTTATTTATTTATATATGAAGTTGGCCATGCTACAGTAAAAATTACAAGAACTTTACCGATTAATCTTTATCATTTCTAGGAAAGTCTAAAAGTATACTTGGGTAAACACTAAAAGTTATTTATAACATATGGCCTTATTAAATAATATTATAGTTCATAGTGCCACGTTTATCTAAATTTAGTAAGTAATTAATTTTTCTTAGAGATAGGGGGGAGGGGGGGGAGCAGTTCATAGCACACATAGAAGTGACTAACTGAACGTTATATGCTTACTTGACAGTACCGTTATGGGCAAAGAAGACTAACGCTCGTACATGTTTTAATAAGAATTACTTTATGATGAAGTAGGATTTTTTATGGCTTTGTGCATTGTACCTATCATAAACTAATTCTAGAAATTAAGTTTCAGCTTGCTATAAGCTAAACGTTTTCATAATAATTGTAGTAAATATTGTATAATGTATGTATGTAATGTGTGGGATGAGCGAAGGGCACAATACTAATTGTTGTTAGTTAAGGCGTGGCATGCAAATATTAAAAATCTTATTCTGGTTAAATAAAGTTTTTTGGAGTTTAAATTTTTAGTAAAACCAGTTAACTTTGTGTTAATTTAATTGTCCTCTAGACTACTAAGTTAGTTATCAACTTCGACTAAACTCACTTTAGATGTTTAGTCTTTGTAGTATTATCTTTACAACGTCTCTGGTCCTCTAGAGCAACTTAATACCACAACAAAGACGCGAGGAACACCAAAAAAGAAAGAAAGAGAAGATTTAAAATAAATGGAAGAACCACACATGTAATAGTAAAAATATATAGAGAGTTATATTTAAAAAGAAGTAAAAAGATAATTCTCTAGAAATAATAAAAACTCAGCTGTTATGTTACGACACTATTAACCGGAAGTGTTGCTCATGTTATGAAAATTAGATTAGTAGCACATCATCTCCAATAAAATTAAATATATTTAGGGTCTATGAATCGCGAGGGTGGTGCACACAACTTGAATATCTGTTTAGGTAAAAGATCTACAAAAGCTCGAAGCAGCGGAGATTTCCCCATGTAAGACCGACCAGGGGCCCATGTCTGTGGTCGCGGTTTATAAATACCCTTGGAAGCTACTTCCGCCTCCAATTTAAACGCCATCTTTGCGGGTGACTCCTCAGCTGTTTTGTGCGGTGATCTCAATTGCAAGCATTCTTCTTAGAACATACAAGCCTATAATTTGAATGGTCACGTCCTAGAAGCCTATGCTGATGAGCACGGGTTATGCATACTAGGCTCCCAACAACCAACACACTTGGCAATTACAGGCACCATGGACGTACTGCATATCCTCATGCTAAAAGATATACGTCTCACAACGGCATTTGAAGCCCTCCATGAGTAGTCCACCGATCACCTTCCAATTATTTTCGAATTAGGCGAGGAGAAGGACATACCGAAGTCTAGCACCCGCTTTTTTACCAACTGGGTCAAATATACCGAGTTCTTAGAAACCACTCTTCCGCCGTATCCTCCACAACCGTCTACACCCGCCCTGCTGGATGATGCTGTCGCCTTAATCGAAAGCGCACTGAACATGGCTCGCAATACCGCCACAAACAAGTGAAGTAACGCTCCGCCCGATCCACCTTACTGACCAACTAAAGACACTTATTTGCCAACCTCGGCCTCTTATTAGAGTGGCCATGTTCTCGTCAGTGCCGAAGACAAACTTGCGCTTAATCGACTGCACAGGTGCATAAGAAAGAATATGACTCACTTTAACACGAAATATGAGGCCAAACTAGATCATATATCCAATTCAGGCAACAGTAGCCGCTCTTCTCTTTGGAGAGTTGTTAAAAAAGGTAATATAGTGGCCGAGAGTGATGAAGACAAAGTCATACCTTTCGTAATCGTCAATCTATCCAAAACGTGCCAGCTTCTCATTTAACTGCCATTGATGCGTTCCAACAGCTGAACATCCTTCACTTGAGCTGGTTAATGTCGGCGAGCTCCAAGCTATTGTCGTAGCGCCATTCAAAAGAAAAGCATTTGGCCCCGATGGCGTCACTACTGAGATGCTGGAGAAATTGTCATTAAGAGGTCTGCATCATCTGTACCTCCTATTAAAACCTGAGATTTTCTTGGCGCCTTCCCTATCCGATGGAAGACGGCGACCGTTGTGAGGCTACCAAAGACATTTAAACCGGAATAATTAACTAGCAAATACCGACCCATCAGTCACCTGTCAGCGGTCGGCAAAGTGGCTGAGACCTTTTTACAGCCGTTTAGAGGAGGCCGTTGGCGCTCGGCAAAAGGGTACTCAACTACCCAGCTTAACTGAATGGGCCACTCGCGCTTTTAACTTTAAGAAGACAACGGACGCTGTCTTCCTGGACTTTGAAAAGCGTTTTATCAAGTTTGGCATGGAGGTCTGCTGCACAAACTGCTTTCGTTATCCGTTCCTCATGCCCTTTATAACGTGCTGAATTCATATTTATATTACCGCGTCTTCAGCGTGCGCGCGGAAGATATACAGCCTCCGCTGAGATCTTTGAGCGCAGGGTCCACCAGGGATCACTCTTTCGCTCCTTTAATTTGCAATCCATGAGTGACGTGCCCTTGCCACCATATCCACGCGCACGAATCGCTTCCTATGCCGATGATACGACCGTTTACTCAGCGTCGAAGTCTCCCGCCTTGCTATTCAAGCATCTACAGCGCTATCTGGAAGCTCTTGCTGACAGGTGCCTTAATTGGAAAGTTTCTATAAACGCGATGAAGAGCAAAGCGCTTTTAAGTACTGAGAAACGTGTCGCCTTGCCGGAGTCCTTAAGCTTTGATGGCGTGAAGATTCTCAAGCGAAATACTTAGGAGTCATCATTAACAACAAACTTTCCTGGCAGCTTCACGTGACTATCTAGCGGTGAAGGTCAAGAGGTGCTTTACCCTTTACTATGCGGCAAGAGCAAGCTTTCTCTCCGAAACAAACGGCCAACTGTATATACCTTAAATTTAGCCAATGATGACCCACGCGCTTGCTGCTTGAACCTACGGCCCCACTGCAATAGCGTAGGCAGTTCAAATGCGACAGAAAAAAAGAAATTGCTGTGGATGACAAAAGCACCTTGGTTTTTGCTAAAATGAGCTCTTCCTCGGGCCCTTCAGCTGGGCCTTTAGATGTCGTCTTACAACCTAATGTCTATGCCCCTTACAACAGGCTAGCCCGGCAACTATTCGCCTGCTAATGAGGGATCTTTTTTAAGAATCTTAGGACGGGGCAAAATATCATCGCCCACGGGACATGAGTTGTCGCTGGCTTTTGTATAGGCGTCAAGAAAGTAATGACATTTTTCTAATGAAAGCAATCACCTATCATGTCTGCGATCACTCCTGCATGAGAGCTCGAGTATTCAAGGGCTGCCTCTCTCGAGTTTTTAGCGGTTTTTCACCACACTAGGCCGAATAGCGGGAGTCCGGGGCCGATAATTTCCGTTTTTTTAGCTCTACAGGAAAGGTCATTATAATTCTATAAAGAGCGTACACTGGTGGACTCTAGGTCTCCAGATCCTGCAAAAGAGGAAAATTCTATTATAAAAAGATTAAGGAAAATTTATTTAAACATAAACATATATAATAATTGACAAAAGATCAAAAGAATCAAGAAACAAAACAATCTGAAACAAAGCGTAATAAGAGCAAACTTTACTAAACTACCCAGCATGAGTAAAACTATGGTCGTGGAGCCTGTTGAATTAGCACAAAAATAAATAGGTACAGTTTGTTTATCGGTTAATTTATAAAACCATTTAATAGAAACGAAGCACGATTTATATTTGCAAATTTAAAACATCGCCGAATTTTTGAAAACCTATATTGGGGAATAAATGCGATTTTAGAAACCGATGAAGGACGAGCATGGGATAAGGGGGGATAAAGTCTATCTACAGCGGACTTCACACACCCTCTCATAACTCCACTGTGGAAGAATACAACGGTCTTTTAAGAAATATGACCAAGGCAATGTCACTTTCAAAAGTCATGAAACTGTGGGTAGAGACAGTGACATATTCGACTATAATTATTAATTAAACATCAGCAGCCTAAGAAAAAGCTTAATGGTGTTTTTCTAAATATCAATTTAAAATGTTTTGAGCTAGAGTTTACCACCATGAATTTGAAGTGGGAAGTTGGAAAATAGTGACATGCAAGAAATCCTTCTAAAACCCGCTTTTCTGGGGACTGTTAGAGCATTACATTCTCCTAACTAAAAAAGAGGGGTCATTAGTAGATGTTCCTGGCCGAAATTTAAGGAAAACCACCAGTGCAGCTGGAAGTATCCACCATCCACTTAAAAAGCAAGCGATTTTATTGGTGCCTACATCGACGAAACTAATAACGAACAACGTGGATAGTAAAAGCAACTCCAATACTAAGCACTGATGACGTTAATTTGCCCAAGGGCCCAATTTTTTTTTTGATGAGACCACTTGCAATGATTTTGAATATTTGAAATACGCCCAGTTATGATTATAGCATCTACAGTGTTATATCTCAGTATCTACAAACCCCAACTAATCCATATAGTACTTTTAACGAGAAAAAACTGGCGTAGAGCTCTAATTATGGGTAGTATTCGAGTGTGTGTTGTTATCTATTAATATTATCTGAAATACGGCACTAGGTATGAAAATTTTATTAAAGTGCTATTTATTTATAATTATAGGTATATGAATTGACTTATTCTTGAAAAAGGAAAAAACTAACTTGTAAAACTATTATAACAATCCTATTATATAACATTTTTGACCCAGAACTAGGCTGCTTTTGACAAAAAAAAATAAGGGACAAAAAAACTTAAAGAAGGCCCACGGGCTTTTAAAATAAAAGAAGATGAATCAATAAAGTTAGAATTTGAATATGTGGAGTTTGTGGCTCATGGAATAGAATACTAAGTTACTACCCGACCCGCAATCTCATAAGAAATTACTAGACTACAAATAGTGGTAGCACATCAACTCAAACTTACACGGATGTAGTTGACCTTAAAAAACGCCTACGTTGATGCAAACATGTTTATTCCTATTAAAAAACCTTTGTGTTTCAAATAAGTGTACAACGAAGCTACGAGTAAAAATCGTTGACTGCTTAACAATATTATTCTACAAAAAATGAAAAAAACCGTCGGCTATTATGGGGCTTAATAATGAGCAAAACCACAAAAATCGTACCTAAATAGTCAAAACTTGATTCTCGCATATTCCACAGCCTGAGCAAAACGTCACTTACATAATAACCCTTTATGTGGAAGACATACGAGTGTTAACAAACATTGCAAAGGATTTAAAATGATTAATTAAATCGAATAGTCCAAAGGGTAGAAAGGTCGCCCCAAATAAACAAATCTCAGTAATTCATATATTATTAGATGAGTTGGCTTTAGCGAAACAAAATCTACTTCCTCTCCTATGAACAATAAAAAATTAAAGTTGGGCCAGGTTACTTATAACTGCCCGCAAAACGATCTCCACAGGAACGCGTTTAACACAATAACATTTATCAAAAAGCACTGAGAAGCGGTTAAGCAAATACTATGGTATTTGTCCGAAACAAAAGTGCTTTTATGTATGATGGTTAAGAGAGAAAGGGATATGACGTTCGACAATTATACAGGGGAGAGTAATATCCCGAGTTTGGCTTAAAGGGAAAAGCTGGTAGCAGTATTAAGTTAAAAGAACGCTTAATATTTTAAAAATCAAAACAATGGATAACTAGTTTGCACCTTAAGAAGACCAAATGAGCCATCATAGCATCAAAAGATAGTCTACAACATAGTTGAACGACAGAAACAACAGCTAGGACGTTTTTTTTCGTTAAAACATTTTACATGTTTCGATCGTTGTAGAGTCTCAAATCCCCCACTGACTATTTAATTCAACTTATTTCCTCTACCTAGATTATAAGCGAGCGTTCCTTAAGGCAAGCAGCCATGAGGGTGAGACTACACCTCTTGCCTATTTAACTACTAATGATGTAGTTTTCTAGCCGGCTGTTAAAAAATGACCGCCGGCTACCCGTGAGCAGCAAAACAAATCATCGCACGTGGTAAAGACATGTGGTATTATAGCCATGGCATTAGAATTTATGAGGACAAGGTTTGATGCGACCGAAAAAAGAGTCGGGTTGCTGAGGACCAAACCTACGACCTTTTTGTATGAGGCTATTAACCGCTGTTACGTTGACAATTGTCAAGCATGGTATCCTGGCTTAAAGTATATTACCTGTTACAAGAATGATGTACACGTGGTAAGACATCTCTCAGCCAATGTTCACATTGTGGTGCTCAATAAGCCTGTGTTAAAATGATTTATTGTCCAATTTCCCCATTATAATGTGGCAGCATCTATAGCGTTATCTCGACGCACGCTTTTGTTTTGAAGAAAAGCAAATAATTTCCTAGTAATTTTAAGTAAAATAAAAATAAAAATAACCTATGAATTGAACATCGGTTTTAAGCTTTCATGATGAAAATCTAGACTGCTGTGCGGTAAGTGGGGAGAGAAGGAGAAATTTTTTTTTTTGCATAGTTAGTGAGGGCTTTTATTTATAGCGCCTCTGGACATCTGTGGTTCATGCGACTGCTGTCTGAGATTATAACTGGCAACAATGACTTCATCGCCACATGCGCTGCTTAAAATGACCAACGCACTGTAGCGAAAGTGTACCGCTGGTATCGCTCATTTGGGACGAATGATTTGACAGACTGCCCTCCGACAGGCCAATTCATCTACGACTTATGAAAAGGGCACTATATTCACCTCTACGTGAAATGCTGTGAACAACAATATTTCTTTGTTCGCTCCTGAGTCTCTTTATTAGTATAAAAATTGTTATAAAAAGATTATTTTTACAAGCGTTGATCTCACAGGTTTTAAGCTTTTTGACTAAAAAATTGCAAATAATAAGTAATATAGTATTAATAAACAACAAGAAAAAACAACTTAGGTTTTGGTTGCATAACGCCCACCTCACAATAAAATGTTAAAAAATAAAGAGCACGTCACACACCATCCTTATAGTTTTTAATGAGTTTATGCCTCCCCTTCAGACGGTCGGCTCTCACTTCAATAAAATCAAATTTCAGGATTGCAACTCGTATAGTACCTGAAAGCGACCAACCTGTTTAAAAAGTTCGAGTACTCGACGTTTTTGTTGACTCGATCGGGCCTCCTGTTAGTAGACAAAACGTTAAGGACTTCTTGTCGTTGGGAAACTGCTCTATAGCCTACTTTGTCCTAAGGAACAACATTTAGTGACTGGATACTACTGAACCTCTTTGGCCGTTGATAAAAATTTTTCAAGCTGAATTTAACTTTTTAGCTCATTTTATGAATGTCCCTCAACTTGATTTTTTTATAAATAATAAAATTAAAAGGTAATCTTTTTATTAAATTACAACTCTTTTTTGCTTAAATCCTTGCTAAAGCCTTACACAGTTATTGCATCAAGAGTCGGTTGCTAATATACAGTTTCAACTTCTGGAATTTTCACATCATTGCTTTTGTCGTGGACTTTCTTCTCAGGCGATTCGCGCCGCAGATCTTGCTAACTCTATAAAAAAACGTTGCAGTTTTTGTTTAACAACTTCTTTTTTCATGACCTTCATAATAGGAACAGTGGAAGTATGGTTACAAGAAACTGTCTTTAACCCTCCTTTCAAATTTTTACACCCCACCACTGCTTGTGAAATTGATCTTTACTTGGTACCCTATTGTACCTCACTAGAGTAGCAAACTTTCAAAATATTAATAGAGAATCATCCAAAGTTATTATAAATATTATTTAAAGCTTTATATACTTGTACTGTACACATTTTACACTCCTTTATCTTTAAACGTAACCTAAGAGCTTGATAGTTGGTTTAACTTCACATCCTTTTCTCAAAAAAGTCTTTTTTTTTATTTTTTATTTTTGTTTCTGTACTCGATTATAGCAAGCTCTTTCCAACCTTATTAGTCGGAGGAGTTTTATCCTTAAGACGGATTAAAGCTTCTCTGCTATCGTTTAAATGTTGACTATTTACTGGCATTTTAGCGGACGAAGAATTCCTTTGAAAGAAAAGCGTATCGCGAGGCGATAAGTTTGGGGCTTTGCTCCACTAATCCTGTCATTCGCTTTCTATCGTTATACAGCTCGTATCTTGTAAGCATAACAGTAGCTATTTCTCCCTTCCCGTAATACCTTGTTTTGTTACAGAGGGAAACTGAGGCTCCAAATACTGAAAACTTCTCTTTCACACGTTTCTTTTATGTAAAGGCAATCTTGTTGTTTGTTTATATATATATATGTTAAGGCGAGCTGCCCAAGCAAGCTACACGTAAAGCAGACTTATCTTTTTTGCGACGTGAGTTAAAAGTACTTTATGATAAAAACCGTTTAGACCCCTTCGAGCTTTACCTGCAAGTATCTTGTTTAATAGAAATTCTCTTCTTGAGTTATTATTTTGTTAGATTCGGACTTGTTCTGAAGGAAGATAAAGACCACAAGGCCGCCGTTAGCGTTTTTGTAGAGGCTCTGGGTATCTACCCAGAGTTTTACGATTGCTGGATGGAGTTGGCTGCATTGCTTGCCGATAAGCTTACGGTAAATAGCGAAGTCTTCTGCATTTTCCACCCAGTTATTTTTTTTCATCTTTCTCCAGAAAGTTGAATTGCCCAACCATTGGATGCGCTTATTTTACGAGGCCGCTCTGGCAAGTGGCACGCGCTTATCTCGTGAAGACGGTATTTGAATTTTTTGACTTTCTTTCTTTTAGAACGTTTAAAGTACGAGAAGAGTCTTCGGTGCTGTGAGATTCTGCACGATTTTTTCCCAGTCAGTAGCCTCCTAATTGCCCAGAAGGCTCTTTGCCTCTACAACATGAGACGTCTATATATAGCTTCTTCGTATTTATGTAACCCTGCTACCTTCGACAATAGTGTTTGAGGAGGCTTTGCTTGTCTTTGCAGAGCTTCGTTTTAAAGATCCCTACAGGTGCCCGTAGTCTTTTACGTTTTGTCTGCAAGATATGTTAAGTTCATTTTAATAGGCTCGACTGTATTGACAGGCTGTCAGACATCTTTTACGTTAAGGGTGACAAGGTAGGAGTGTGTGAGTTTTAGTTTACTACACTTAAGCGCTCTGCATGGTAGGTCCAGTTGAGTTATTTAGCTCACGATGTGGCTCGTATAGACAAGTATCGACCAGAGACCTGCTGTGTTATTGGTAGTTTTTGACTAGTGGAGCTTGCCAAAGCAACAGTTTTCACGTCTTCATAGGAAACTTTTATAGTTTGCGCTCTAATCACGATAAGGCTGTTTTATACTTTACACGGGCTTTACTCTTTAAAAGTTCTTGTTTTTTTGCTTGGACGTTAATGGGCCACGAAGTAGGTTTTAGCATTCCTTTTAATTTTTCAAAAATAGTGCTTTTAATAGTATATGGAGCTCAAGTTTCCCTCTAAGGCAATAAACTGTTATCTACGCGCGCTCGGTTTTTAAATTAACAGTTTTCTAACGCTCTTATTATCGCTCATAAATAAAAAGAAGCTAACAATAAAGACTTTCGGGCGTGGTACGGCCTGGGTCAAGCCTTTGAAATTCTGGACATGTACGATTATGCTCTGTTTTATTATAGAAGGGCATGTCTTCTCAGGTGCCTCAGTGTATCTTCCTTGTAGTGGTGTAACGTTTAACATCAGTTTCAAAGACCATCGGACGGACGGATGTGGCTCGCTTTGGCTAGTAGCTACGAGTTGCTAGGGATGTTCTTAGAGGCGATTCAGTGCTACGAGGTTCGCTCGTGTAATTAAATTATACGTTCAACAATATTTAATACTATTATTGAAGGCGGCCGCGAAAGACGAGGAGGTTTCTTTGCTTTCTACTTGTAGACTCGCTCAAATGTGCTCTCACTTAAGTTGGTCATTTAAAGATTTAGCGACCTTTACTTTACCAACTCCATATGTAGAGATGAAAGACAGAGCTGCCAAAAACTTCATGAGAGTTCTGCAAGACACAAATGTACAAGACGACGAAGAGGTCAAAAATGTGAGAAACTCTTAATTACTGTCTCGCATGAGTTTTTTTTATTGCGCAGATGGAGAACTACAAAATAAAAGCGTGCTTGTACCTCGCCCGTTACTTTTTTGACCGCAAAAAGTATTCACTTTCAAAAGAATTTGCCGAGCGGGTAAAATTTTTATTGTATGTTTAACAATATTACAGCAAAGTTGCTTATTTGCAGATATTTAATTGGAACAAAAGAGAAAAAGAAGAGGCCAAGGCCATTTTACAGGATATCATGACAAGATCCGTAAACTGTGTAAATAAAGGAGTGTAACCAGAACGCTTTAAATGTTTTATTATGTGGTAAAGGTTAAAACTCTGTTCGTTTGTAACGTGTGTTGTAGTATTCCTCTTCCCGCTTTATCTTTTCTTCATGTTTCTTTCCGAGTTCTTCCTTTCTACATTCTATTCTGCGGACAATTACATACACCGCCAGCTACTATGTTTAAAAAATGGAACTTGGGTTGTAATTACTAAGCACCTACCTACCGACTCGCTCTCCAGAAGGGCAAACTTGCCTGCCTCTTTAGTTGCCAAATTCCTCTCGTCTTTTAAAGCACTGCCTTCTAGCGACCTGCCACCCGTCATATAAAGAGATTGTAGCAGTTTTAAACAACGTATAGACGACCACGTAAGCACACCTCACCGTTCCAGCAATGAAGAAATCTACTTTTAATACAACTATCATGTCTGCTGTTACCGACCAAGGCGAGCCAATCAGTATATCCTTAACGTACCTGCAACCTGTTAACAAAAGGAAGTTTGCTTCACTCTTTAGTCGTAGCAACTCTCATTTGTATATACCCAGAACGGACAGGGCTCTTTCCTGGAGGTTGGTGATAGGGTAACCTTCTCCGCTGTGATACCTGATGACCTGATCTGAGTGGACACCCATTATAAAGTGACTTTCTTATTAAATTAATTAGTGGTGATATCTATTAAAAAAATAAAAATTACTTGTATACTAAAATGTCCTGCGTGAAACAAGTCCCATCGACCTTTAACTGCTTCATTCGTGTCTTATGGGAGTTGTACTAAATTTGTATACCAAGGACGTACACAATAGTGTCTTCTTCCATTGGAGGCCGAAAATCCGAAGAAGGCAAAGGGGATATCTGCATGGTAACCCGGAATCCTGTTGTTTCGGTTTTCACCTGGAGCAAAGTTGCTCAACCTGTTTAATAGTCTACATGTCTGTAGGGTAAGCGAACCGAATAGGCGCTGAGATTCCGGAAGGGTAATGGTCTTCTGTACTTCAATGCAGCGTTATGCCAACGAGATCCGTCGTTGAAATTCCTGCACTACCAGCTTTAGATAGCTTACATATATAACGGGGTTAAAACCTTCAGTGAGGGGAGTTGTTTTGTTTTTTCCCCATTTTTTGTAGCTGCATACACATCCTTTCCGTTGACCAAGCAGGCATGGTCGCCATGTACTACGTAGCCGAGGTTATACTTATATACTTTTTAAATTATAACCGAAAACACGAGTGGAAAACAATAAACCTTAGGGAATATTTGCTCCAAGTATTCCTCGTTCATTATGTACGGAATTTAATCTCCAAGGCATCCACAAACTTACAGCCAAACCCAACAGTGGTTCTCTCAACTAATAAAAGTAGCAACTCCTCAACCAAGGCCAATATAGTAATGTAAATAATATGAGAGTTTCTTTCATTACTGGGGGGGGTTCCTTTATTTCCAAAGAGAGACTGATCCGAGTTTATTACTACACGGTTATTAGACCTTAAGCATAAAAGGGTTTTAGCAAAAATATAGGTCCAAAACCAAAAACGATCCAAATTGCTTCTGCTTGACGAAAAGAATTTATATGGCCGCAATGAATTAAGTCGAAAGCTCCGTCCTAAAAAAATACTTACATAAAACTGTTTTAAAAAAACCAAAATAGTACCATTCAAACACGAAAATTCTTTTTTCCCAAAGTACATCCATTTTTTCCAGAAGCTCTTTATTTTTTTTAAATTCTTCTTTAGTAAAATAATAATTTTTAAAAAACCATATCAACTTGTTCTTTCATTTTTTCAACTAGGGATAATGCATCTAGAAGGTTAGTTTTAAGATTTGAATGAGCGAAAGTATTGAAAACATAATTGTTTAGAACGAGCACACCGCCCACGATAGTAAAAAGCACGTCTACGGCTGCTAATGTTTTAAGTATTAAGTTGTTAACTTAAACGACTTACGTTCTCCACATAACTCTTGTAAGTCAAGCGACTTCAAATTTTGCGGCTAAAGGGATGCATATACACAAGTTACCCCATAAGATAAAACTAAATATTTGCTTAAAACAGTCCCTCAAACCTCCCACCCGGCAACTTACAACTATTAGGCGCTGAATGACTGTTAGATATGTGGCAAACACTAGACTGGGTTTTACCAGCCCTAGATCATAGCTGAAACTTATTACACGTAATTTATTTTCTCTTATTTCCTTTTCTTACTACCATATAAAATTGTTGCCCCTAAGCCTCCATACCGAACATGTAATTAAATATTTTTGTTATTGGGTACTATGGGGACCGCCTCCAAAGAGCACGTGTTAACGAACCCAAGGGGTTAATAAAAAGCTTTTATATAGTTTTTGATGAAATATTAAGGGTAGTGCACATGTGATTATATAAGTTTGGCTAGCGCACCCGCTGCAGATTTTTTTTCTTTACGGTTATTGTAGTGCAGTTGGGGTTGATGCGTTTAGAGAGTCTATAATCAAATAAATTTACAGTGCTTTATTACTTCGCTTTCTTACATTGTATTTCTTTATGGTCTACAATATACTTTATATTATCTATATGAAAATATTTTACTGCCTGTAGTACGCAAATAATATGTAAGTTTTCTTAGACACACAGCTTGTGAAAACCAATCCAAAAAAAAAAGTATTATTATTATAAAATAGCTATGTAATTTATTAAATAAATGAGAACGAGATAGGAAAGAACAAAACAGTACAATGGGGCGAGAAGCAGTACCCAATCATCACGAGATAAACAGATCTAAGTCAAATAAAGCCCATTACCACTGTAAACATGCAAAATTAAAGCTCATACTAAGTTCATAAAGGTGGGGTTATATAGACAAAGTATTTACGAAGTTTATTAATTACTGGGCTGCTTAGTACATATCGTCATGTTATACTTTTTTTTCTTCAAGCTGTACTCCTTATTTTTTCTTGAGCAACCTAATTTACCTTCTGTAAGTTATTTTTTTTTACTTTTAAGTTAGTATGCCATAATTTTTTACGATATCACCTTAAACATTTTTAGCTTCGAACACATATACATGGCGTAAACTAGAGTTTTCTTCCGGTTTAGAAGATAAGATTGTTTGTTCTTTGGAAGAGGAATTATTCTAGTCTTTACGAAATAAATAATTTCGAGGTATTTTCCACACCAAATGACTATTCTATACCAATTACTTAGTAAGTTATTGCCAGAGCACCCCAAAAATAACCAGACGTGAGAAAGGATTTTGTGTCTATGTTTTTTTTTCGCTCTACTAACGTGGATCATTGGACTATTCTCTTTTCAAGGTGAAACAAGAGGCTTACAGCTGGTAGAAACTAATTAGCAACTCGACTAGGAGTAACGTGGATTTTGTCAACTCGAGCTTTAATTTTCGGATTGGAGAACATTAATAAAAGTCGTACCTTTGGTAATACATACAATTGTGACAAAAATTTGTACTCAATGATAAGAATAATTTCTTCGTATCCTGTCTAGCATATCTTTTTATGAGGAATTTTTTATAAGCTTTGGAAACCCAAAACGAAATATTGAGAAAAAAAAAAAATGTAGCTGCAATCTACCTCAAATATAAGTCTTTTACTAGATTACTATTTTACTGCATAATTGAACGCGTAACTAGAGGATATAATTACAGGAAAGTCATAGGGACACTTTATTAGATACCGGAAAAAACGGTTCGGTGTGGGCCTTTGTTTAATATTTTTATTAAATTTTTGTGATGGTAAAATTTATATAACATTAATAAGGAAATACAGACTATTAATCAAGTGCATAGTGCACAAGCGCACGATGGTATGTAGTACAAATGGTTAAAGAAGTTAAACTTTTAAGGTACCAAAAAAATCTAAAATCTTTTTGCCATTTTAAAAATACCTGTGCCTAAATCTGCCCTAACTTAGTCACAATGTTATGCGAGTGTACATATTTAAGTTTGTGTCAAAGAAAACGTACACTTAACCACTAAGAAGCTCTACCTACAAAAGCCACACACGTGATATTGGTGTTACGCGTTAATGCTCTATTTATTTGACAATATTCAGTCCTTGGTCCTTGACGTTCTCAGATATAAAGCCTGATAATACCGCCATGTGAGGGCCCTTAGATTATAGTCTTCCCGCGCCGGCGCCTGTCTGCAAAATTTATTCCGGTTCGCAAAAGCATTTTACCCGAGAGTACTACCACACGATTCTCTACGGGCGGGGGGCCAACTCTGCGTGCAACGAGTATTGATGAAGAGCGCGATGCCAAAGCCATTATTGAGTCGGCTTGCATGTTAGGACATTGCAAAAACGTATTTTTTTTTTATAATTGTGCTGCGAAATTTTTAAAAACACGGTTTTTTTAATAAATTTTAAACCATACAAAATGAATAAAAAAGATCTAACATCAAAAACCGCTAACCTTTTTTAGAGGGGACAAAAACAGTATTTATCAGAAGATTAGTGACGATGCCTATTGTAGTACTAAATACTGGTGCTTCAAGTTTAACCCCACAGCAGCCCAGGGGGTCTCACAGATCTGGAAATTTGTTTTCTAAATTTTCAAATTAGATAGAAGTTAAAGTTACGTGTGACCTCTATCTTAATGTCTCAATAAACGACAAGTTTTTTTATTTAATGCAAAAGTAAAAAATTAAAAACTCAAGGGGTCTGAGAGACCTACTGCGACTACTGTAGGGTTAAGAGAAATAAAGAAAATGAGATAGTTTGATACTCTAGCATGTTCAATCATATACCAAGAAAGGGAAATAAAACTTTCTTAGACACCAGGATAAATATTCAAACCCTGGTTTCTTGGTAGCCCCTGACAATAAACTATCGCCACAGACCCTACGTGTAGATAGTTATAAAGTTCCTTCAAATAACGCTATGAAACCGACCAAACTTGTTCATCATTTGCATTCTAAGCGTAAAGACGACATTAATTAGCCATTTATATATTTTTTAAAGATTACGTGTCCCGATGAAACTTCAGAAAAGTTAATTGAAAACGATTAGCTGCTCTTTAAATTGCTAAAACTATAAAACCGTTTACTATTGGTGAGGAGTTAGAGTAAAGACTTGTGGCATAGAGGTCGCCCAAGAAATTTAGGGGCCCAAAGCCACTATGAAACTAGGCTATACCGCTTTCCGATAGAACACTCTTTAGGATGTTGATAAAAGAAATTGAGACGATTTGCGTTCAATTAAATGAATCAACTGACGTTATCAATCATGCTATTTTACATTGCTTCTTTAGGTATAGTAAAGATGAAGACTTAAGGGAAGAACATTTTTGTGGCCTTTAATACCCAGACTGGCCACTAGTTCAGTAATATTTGATACCTTAAAAACTGTTTTCAAGCAAAGTACTTAACTTTAACTTGAAGTATATGCGTTGGTGTTTGTATGGATGGTGCTGCGAGCTTAACTGCTCGCCGCTCAAGAGCAGTTGCGAAAAAAAGAAGTTACTTACCAAGAAGTTTTGTTTACACAATGTTTGACCCACCGGGAGCGTCTAGTTGTAGAGAAGCTCTCTCATGAACTAAATACTGCGGTGAAGATCATTCACCAAACTCGTAGTCGAGCTACGAACTCAAGATGGTTCTAAATACTGAGCGAGTATGGAAGCACAACACCAACATCTACTTTATGCAGAAATGGGCTGGTTATCGAGAGAAAGAGTTCTCCACGTCTGTTTGAACTGAGGGAAGAAGAAAATTTATTTCTGGGAGAACGATAATCTGGTCAAGTAGAACCTTGATAAAATGAGAAATGGATGGCTACGCTTGCGTAAATGGCAGTCATATTTAATCTTCTAAACGAGCTTTATAAGGGGGCCTGGACCAATATTTTTACCTTAAATAAAATGGACACCTTTCGGAAGAAGCTGGCTCTTTGGGATAGTTGCGTGATTGAGGAAAGGATAATTGGGTTTTCATTTCAGAAGCAATTTTATTTGATGCTGTTATTTGAGCACAAAAAATATTTAACTTGATTTATTTCCACGATATTTAAAAACACCGTAAAGGAAAATTTTTATGGGTTAGTAATCCCCTTTATGATGTTAAAAAAGTGCACTTGATTCCCGTGAGAAAGAGAAGCTAATCGATATGCCTTCTGATATCGCTCTGATGTCCAAACATTAAGTGTATTCATTGTCTCAATTTTAAATATCCCTTAATTAAGAATATATTAACTTGTTCCTTTATTCTGATTTTTATTTGAGTGAGATTTTTTCAGCTATGTCAGTAATAAAAACTAAACAGAGAAATCAGTAGGATGTTAATGCAGCCCTTTGTCACTCAGAAACGAAACTGCAATCTCGTATATTACATTTACGCAACAGCAAGTGTCACTTGAACGAGAAATTATAATATTATATAATAACATTTAATAAATAAATCCTTGAAAATATTTTTTATTTCTGGCTGATGCCCGGCCCCGCAAAATGTTTTTTCTTTCGCCGGTTCTGCGGCTGTGAAAAGGTTGGGGAACACTGCTTTAGCCGAGCTGGAGCGCCCTCAAAGTTTTAGTGGTAATCAATTATTAACCAGGACACACGTGTGTTTTTTATAGTTTTCTTCAGGCAACCTTTAGTGCTTAATATTTATTGTCTGTTCCCCAGGCGGGGCATTCAACCTATCTCGGATGCCCTTGAAGTTTTAGAGTTAGATCCATGACGATATCGAGAATATTCATAAAGGCACGCTTGTCGAAAAGATGAAATATCAACTACATAATAAACCTACTAACAGTATTGTTAACTATCGGGGTCAAAAGCAATGAGGACGGGGTTTCGACTGTGCTATAAATACCCATGATAAAAAACCTAGTTGCAATTTCCTAAATCCTTTTACGTTAGGCCGTCGCCAGATTTTACGAAGCCTCCACCTTAGTGCAGCTTTTACTGCACTGTGATTATTAAGAGTTGGGCGTTCTTTAAATAAGAAAATGGTACATGAAAATAATTGCTATCATATACTTTTAATTTATTTTTAGAAGTTTTTGTATTTACATTATATACTATTTGACAGGAGAAAAAAGATATTTTTTATCCTGACACCGTTCCTATATTGCTTTATAATAAACACATAGAATATTTAAAACACGTCTCATGTTCGAGTTATGGTAACAGTTATGATTTTAAATCTACAGAATCAATAAGAATGGTAGGCTTTTCCTCTTTATATTTCTATTTTAACTTACCTGCATATATATGCTTCTACTTGGCTGACTTTTTACACTGTTATCATGTACCCTATTCCCACCTTTTCATATTATCAAGATATTCCTTTGGTTTTAAACTTAATACTGGTTAACTAGAAGCTAACTTATAAACTTATTATTATATTGTCCCGTATATATTATATGAGAAATATTTATTTAAACTTGACCCCAATTTAAAGAGGTTTGGGCATGTAGACGTATATAATTTTGTTCACTTAAATTTAGGTCCAACATTAATTAAGTTTATTATAAAGGTAAGTATAGCTTAAACGGTTTAAAATGAAAAAAATTATAAGTTTTAATGTTTAAATTCTAGTTAACACTAGTCACTTCCAGTATTAATCATATTATTTCACTAAAGAGCGGCATTTACTGGTGCCTTACAGCTCTTGATATAACCCACTCTTTAAAAGAATTTCTCCAGAAGCCAGCGAATAACTGTAAGACTATGTGCGAAGAGCGTATATAAAGAAAACTTTTTTTTTAAGAGTTAAAAAAACTAATTCTTCTATCGAACTAATAATATTTACCTTAGCGGACTCTATTTCAGAAGAGGAAAGAATTGTGAATTTCTTACTCCAATGCTACAATCCTGATGGAGGCTTCGGCGCTGCTGTTGGCCATGACTCCCATATGCTGTATACACTAAGTGCTGTCCAAGTAACTAGGAGTTTTATGTGATCCTCTTTTGTGTAACATTTAAAGAAACTTTTTTTGTGTAAATAGATTTTGGTTCTTCTTCGAAAACTTGACCTTGTCGATAAACATAAAATTGCCCGCTTTATAAGTACTCTACAGCAGGTAGATGGCTCATTTGCCGGTGATAATAAATACAGTGAAATCGACTCCAGGTCCTTAACTGATCGTTAATAGATCATAAAAAACATATAGAGGCGAGTGGGGGATCCAAAAAGCTTTGGGATTGGCAGGAAACCCCTTAGCTAACTTGTCACGCCCTCACTTCCACCCCCAACATCACTGTTTTTATTTGTAGTTGCCCTGCTTTAAAAATTTGTTGGAAACTCACTTAGAACATACCTTTTTCTGTACCTATATATCATCGGGTTTCATTGATAAATACAAGATTTTAGTAGGTGGCATAAAAGAGTCGTAGTTATTAAAAATATATAATTTTATAACAAAACCCCGCTTACAGATTTTCTTTTTGCGCAATTGCTTGTTTGTACTTACTGTCACTCTTGGACGCCTTTGACCTCCAAAAACATCCTAGCTCGCCCTTTGGAATTGATACAAATAAAGCAGTTGATTTTGTGCTAAAATGTCAAAACTTTGACGGCGGTTTTGGTATATCTACACCCATTTACTTTAAGTCGCTGATATTTAGCGACTTTATGAACTAAGGTACAGTCCCTGGGAGCGAAAGTCATGCGGGCCAGGTCTATTGCTGCATCGGAGTCCTGACCATCACGAGAGCCCTGCATAAGATAGATACTGACTTGTTGGCGTGGTGGCTCTGTGAGCGTCAGCTCCCTTCAGGTCGTCTCGGTCTCTCCTCTTTTTCTGTAGACAGCCCAACATGTTAACGTTTTTGGCAGGGGGCCTAAACGGGAGACCTGAAAAACTACCCGATGTGTGGTAGCTCACTATTTTTATATATTCTTGTATAAAAGTCAGCAGTATATACCTCTATAAAAATAAAACAGCTATTGTTGGTGGGTACTCTCTTCATTAAAAATGCTTGGCAGACTACACTGGATTAATAAGGAAGCTCTTATATTCTACATACGCGCATGTCAGGTAGTTTGTTAGGTGTACAAGTAAATATTAGACGATATTCGCACGGGTGTTGTGGTAGGACCCGGAAACCGGGGGCATCTCGGACAGACCTGGAGACTGCTGCGATCCATTCCACACTTTGTTCGGCTTAGCAGGTTAAACTTTTTTTACATTAACAATAAATGCGCCCTATCGTTGTATTTCATGGCAGGTCTGCAACTTCTCGGCGCCGCGAGCGAGTTACAGGAGATCAACGCTGTGTTTTGCTTGCCTCAATATGTAGTAGATGCTATCGAAGAAGACTGCTGTCTCGACCAACTGAGGGCTCACAGAGACAAAAACGCTAAATAAGATGGATGTAAAAATAACTTTTAGTAAACCTTTATTTAAGCTTCTACACCTTTTTATCATAATTAATTTGTTTACTGCATGCTGGAAGTAAGAGCTTCCAGCTCTTTTTCTTCTTCCGTCATTTCCATTCCCGTTCCGGGCGCTTTTGTAGGGACCTTGGGTAGTGAAGAGGATGGTAATTCTGTTAGCAGTTTTTGGTCAAGTTCTTCTTGTTCAAGAGTGTCTAATTCGTCAAGGAGTTCATCTTCGTCGTACTGTTGCCCTAAACCTTTAAAGAAAAAATTAAATATAAAGTTTTACAGTACAAAAATTGAAGTTAAATAAGAGTGCCTTGAGAGAGAGCTTCACCAACTTCATTGACTATGTCCATCTGCTCTTGAATGTCTTCCATAGTGTCGTCAACTTCATTAAGTGTCCTGGGAAAATAACCAAAATTGCTAAATAAAAATATATTTACTGTAATTGTTTATAATAAACTAACATGCCCTGAGTTATCGTTTTCATGGTTCTAGAGCCTTGCTGCATCGCTTTTAAGGCCTCAAGGTTTACATTTGCCCCCTCGATGGCCATAAGTTGGGATTCTAAAGTCATCTATATATATGTAATTAGCTATGATATTTAAGACAATAGCTAGTGTGTGGTTAATAATGACAACGCAAAAAAGAGAGTATAGGGGACAATAAATTACTTGTGCCCCTAAAAGTCGCTCTATTTGTTGTTCATATTGCTTCTTCCTCTTTAAAGCCATTATAGCAGCTGAAGAGTGAAAAGAGCTGGAAGTTGGTTGCAAGTCATATTGCAAAATATAAAATTCAAAAAAAGAGGGGAAAAAAAATAAAAACCTTTTTTATTTTTGGTGGCATTCTTTTTGGCTACTTCTTTTTCCATTTCAACCTTTTTTTCTAAATAACATTGCCTTTTTTGCAGGGTTTCCATACTCTCCCGAATCTTTAAAAATGATGATATAACTTGTAAAAGTAAATGGCATAGGAGAGTTAACATGAGACAGTAATAACTGAGCTCAAATTTTTTTTAGGAATTTAAACCTTACTAATGCTTTCGGTGGCTAGAGGCGCCTTTTTCTTTCGGGAGAACAAAAACATATTCAATTTTAATTGCTTATTCTAATAAAATATTATGCAAGTATCAAGCGCCCTTCCTCCGAGCGCTAGTGGGTATATGAGGTTACCACTGCTCCTGTTAGGAATGAAGTCGGGAAAAAACAAATAGTGTTGGGGTCTCCTTACCCTTGACCCTAAAGTGTTGCGTGGACTACTCATTTAATATTGAGTGATATTATTTTACAACATTGACTTTTATAAAATGAAGAGCTTATACTTTAAAAGCAAAGGAGTTAAGCAAGTTGTGCCTCATATAAAGAAAATCTTTTTTCCCAATAAGAAAGATTCTGTTAAAAGAAGTCCGTAAGAGTATTAGGCCATAAAATATTTAAAACAATATGTTTGTTTATGACTCACATAAAAGGAAGCGCTACCAATATATTACTATTTATATATATAATATAATCGTTTGCATATTTTTTTGCTTCCTAGACTTAATAAAATCTTTTTATAATTCAAATTATTTTAAAACTAGGCTATGTAACTTCCTCTTGTACTTTATGATTAATATTGTTATTTCTTTTTTAAACGTAAAGGCGAAGGAATGAAAATTCCACTAGGACCGTTAGAAGAAAAATATAGGGCATCTAAGGGCATCTGCATCACTTTGCTTCCTGAACGCTTTTCCAGAAAACCTATATCTGAAAGTGAAGCTCTGGTTATACAGGTCCAGCAATTTAAAGACTTATCGAGTTAATGTCCCGTCTTTTACTATTAATAATTTATATTTTCATACATTTTTCTATAGCAAGGAGGCGAATGAAAGGGTTGACCAAAGTCTCTACTAAAAATTGTTAAAAAAATTGTAAATTTTAGGGAGGTGTGCCTTCAAGTAAGCAAGTCAATAAACTTTCGATAAACAAAATCGATTTTTTTACACTAAGTTTTTATTTTAAAGATTTTATTTATAAAAATATTTATTATTTCTTCAAGAAACAGAAATAATTTTGTTCTAAGCTTATACATTAACAAATAATAAGTTTTAAAAATTTCGCGCTTTTCTTTTGCTTTAAAGTTTTATAGTAGTTGCAGTTAAAATAATTCTTAGAAGCGCAATGAAAAGGAAATTAAATTGGAGCTACTTCAGTTGTAAAAAAAGAGTTAGAAGTTTATATAAGGTTCTGTTTTATAGAGTCCTTATGCTGCAAGTCTGGCCCGTTCAAGAGGAAAAAGTTAATAAGGATAATTATTTTTTATAATTTTTAAAAGGTTGATTAAAAAGTTTTAGCCATATGATCGTTCAGTGGTAGCGCCAGCCGTACAGAAAACAATTTTAACCGTTTAGAAAGTTACGCTTAGCAACTTTTAAGTTTTCTTGCGTTATTTAATAATTCCTTGCACTTTTCCACAATTTCAAAGTCCTATATATGTATGTTTTAGCAGCGATAAGTAAAGAAATAGTAAATTTTCAATACATATATAAAATATATGTTTATAGACAAAACAACAAGCATCCATTCGTGATTTAAAGCCTGAGTAATGGTGAATCGCGATTTCGGATCCACACGAAGCAACTTTTGTATTAGGTCGAAAACTAAAATTAAAATCAACTTTTCACCGAGACAGTCAAACAGAGGGCAGAAAGTAACCCTTGGGGGACAAACCCTCCCAGTCCTCTTCGTTGTAGTAGAGATGACCCGTCAAAACCTGCTCTTCTCTGATTTGCGGATCCTCTGAAAGATTGTGAATGAGCGGTGCTTCCACAGGGCGGTAGAAAAAAAACCACAGAAGGGAGGGTATCCCACAAGACAAATGTAAAGAATAACTCCAAGACTCCAGCAATCAACTACGTTTGTGTACTGCTCGGAGCGCGCTCCTCGGAAGATAACTTCCGGAGCTGAAGGAAATTAATATGGCGGAAATATTTAGTTAAAAATAAGGCAGCAAAAAAAGGACAAATTACCGACATAGCCTGGAGTGCCGCACAAAGTCTTCATATAAGAAGTTTCTCCTACAATTTTAGCCAGCTGGTTATAGAATTTTTTTTTTTCTTCTCTTCGTATATTTAGATATATATAAACCCCAAAATCGGTGATCTTATAAAGAAAGTCGCCCGAACTAGTTTTCTCCAGCAAAATATTTTCAGGCTTTAAGTCACGGTGGGTGATACCTAGCCGATGTAAATGCTGCGGTTTTACATAAATGTTTCATAATAATAAAAAGCTGGTGTAGACGAGTTAGTACATCCACTGCGGTTAGCATCTGATAAAAAAAGAAAAGCGACTCGCGCTCTGAGAGTTTTCCTTGATTAATTATGTGGTCGAAAAGAGAACCGTCGAGGGCACTGGAGAAGAGAAAAGAAGTCCCTCCTCAACAAGAGAGGCGCCAGGAAAGAGTCATACAGCTCCAGAAAGATGTAGTACGCGCTTTTCGTTTCAAAAAAGTCGTAAAATTGAATAATGCACGGCTAGAATAGTTTATAAGTACAGATCTCTTCGCTTGAGGTCAAAACGGTACGTGATCAATAGTCCTCAAAATGTCAGCTTCTCGCCGGAAGCAACGCTCGGCCTTCTCAATATTAAGATCGTTCACGGGAGCTTTATCGGTCTGAAATCAAGTGTACATATAAAAGTAAGCAGCCTAAGTATCGGTAATAAAACAAAAATTTATGAACTTAAAAAATATAAAAAAGGCTTAATAACTTTCAAGTCGTAGGATAAAGCAAATACCAAAGGAAACAGCTTCCTCTTACTTATACACTTCGCAGCAACCTTAAGCCCCGTGCAAAGATTAACGGCCAACCTAACCTCCGCAAAACTCCCACTGATTCCGCGAAACAGTCAAAAGACATTAAACCATTTTATGTAAACTAACGTCCCAAGAATGGTTGGGGTAATCTCATACGGGAAAAGTGTGCTGGGCGGCTGTATTTTTAACAAAGCAACAAAAACTTAAGTGCAGTATATATAACAGGCCGAGAAGGACCTCACTCACAGTGTGCTTTGCAGTTATAAGACTACGAAATTGATAAATTCGTTCTACTAAAAAAATATTAAAAGATTAAAAAAAAGAAAAATAAACTATGGCGCTTTGTTTACCTTCCCCCTTCTCAAACAACAAACCTATTTATAAAAATTATTGATAACTAGGTATAAAAAACTTTTTTAATTTTTTAAATTAACCTATTACAGTGTTATCTGCTAAAAACCGAGTTTCTTTAACAACTTTCTCACCGTTTAAAAGAGTCCCGTTCGTACTAGATAAGAATAGGTAAAATTGAAGACAATAAATCTGAAATTGCCAACCTAGTGTCTTCCAGAATAACTAAAGGTGCATGCCCGTCTTTGTCTAGTGTCATCTTGAAAAATTATTTAAAGGAAATCAATAAATATAATAATAACCGGAACAAATAAAGACAACTTTGGCTATCGTAAAATGTTTGCTGCTTACGGTAGCTCCGTTTATATTTACATCACAAGCTAGATGTCTGCCAAAGACGTATTTCTCTTTGACTAACGCTTTAAATATGGTTAGCGAAAGGAAGGTTAAGTAAAAATAAGTTAATAATACTAAGATCCTTTACTCCGGGGTGCAAAGATTCTAACTTACCCCATGCTCTATTAGTATTATTTTCTACCGGAAGAGAAGTAAGTAACGGATCAGCTTCTAAAGTTGGTTCCAAATGATCTGTCATTTAGAACTGTGGTGTAATGATTACAGTTTTTAAAACCACTATTTATAAAACTTAGTATAAAAAAAAAGTTGAGGCTAAAACTTTTAGGTTTTTGTTAACAACGCTAATGCAAAGGCAAAACTTATTCTAACATCCCATAATAAAGGCGTATAGCCGACAAAAAGAACACACTTCGCTCTAGCAGACCCACGATTTTTCAGTTTTACAAGTGGCATGCATAGTTTAACACTACCTAGGCTTTTTGTTTTAACTACCAAACTGTCATTGGCATTAACCTGGAACATTTTTGTTAATATTGGTATTTTTAAAGAGCAAACGACTCTTCCATATTCTTAGATTAAGTTTAAGGAAATGGATCTATGCCCATCGTTTGTTCATCAAGTATCTTTCCTTAAACTTTCGCAAAAATTGATCTCAGAAAATATTAATTTTTTTAAGTATAAGTTCATTTCGTTAGGTGTTTAAGCAAGTTATTGGTTAGCATTAGATACCGAGTAGAACCAGCAAATTATCCTGCTATAAAATTAAACTTAAAGTGACTAACCATATGCTCAAAAATTATCCAAGTTATAAAAATGCTGATTAAATTCATAAAATTGATGTAGTCTCTGTAACCCAGCCTTTTTAAACCGCCATTAATGCGAAGTATTTCATATATTTAACTGCTTAGTGTGTTTTATAGGTTGACCCATTAAGGTAAGTGATATATTTATAATAAATATGGATTAAATAGTATGTTAAAGTAGCTAAAGAGATCTTTATTTTTCAGTCAAAACTAAATTTAAAGTAATACAATAATTTCTATTTTAATAATTCATTGATAATAAATATACAAGTCTAACTTAAAATCTTTTTTTAAGTTAGTTATTTTAAACTGTGTATTACCTTTTAATATATGTTAAGTGATTTATAATTCCCTCTTTACAAAAAAGTAAAAAATATATTAAAAATGCACTCTGTTCACGGAAGCCATTAAGTGTACTATTAAGAATATCAAAGTGCACAATGCTGCCGAAAAAAAGCACTACGCTTAGAGATTAACTTCTAAATCGATAACTTCCACGTGTGAGGGTGCTGAAGTATGTGCTAGTTTACTATTAAATTTGGATATCCGATACGAAATTAAAAGTTTAATTTACAGCCAAACAAGCTAATAGATAGATAACTTGGTTACATTAATTAATCTGCACTATAGATATAAGGTTAACTGAATATTAACGTGACACGAAACAATTTACTTTGGTTTATGTCCTCAAATTAAAGTAAACCTAGTGCATATAATAAACTAACAAGAAAAAAAAATTTTTTTTTTTTTTGAATTTATAGAAATAATAACATTACACATAAGTCACAAAACCTTTACTGCTTAGTCTATCTGGGCTGGTCGCGCTCATTCTCATCTATATACTAGGTAATGGTTCTATTTCCTAACAGTACTACTACTACATATTCTATAGCAGCAAGTACTATTAGTCAGCGATCAGTCGAATGAACTAGGAACTACGCTAAGAACACAGCTCAAACTTACATTTAATCAGGCGCCGGCTAAAGGTCTAGCAAGTACCGTAGTAGTTCACTTGAGCATACCTTGTATCACGATGCCTTCGCACGCAGTTAGTGATAAGAAATCAGAGTATATGCAGAGATTAGCTGATTCCATTGAAATATACTGTCAAGTATAAGAAGATTTCCACAACTTTTTCATTGACTTTTTTTCCTTCGAATTGAAAGATGGGTGGTTTTTTTAACAGCATGTACTTTGAGCCTCACTTTAAAGAGAGGGATTTATTAGATACTACTTAGTCATTTAAAAGGTTTAGTGCGCGGTAATATTATTTATGGTTTACGTGGCGTCGCTTTTAGTTAGTTTAAATTTAATAGAAATAACTTTACTAACGCCAATTGTTCCTAGGGTGCAAGTGCAAAATCAATTTAATAAACTTGTTTCCTCTCTCTTATTTTATTAACATTTTAGTTAGAAGCGCTACGGCATAACTTTGACTATGCGCAGGGGAAGCTAGAGTTAAGAGTATTAAGAAAAACAAAGTCGCGAGGACTTTTCTATGAAAGATAAGACAGTCTACTTATCGGGTCCACTCCGTCTGTACCGACTGGGCTTTTAAATATTTTTCTAGCTTTTGGGTAGTACATGTTTTTTCCGCTTATATTAGTATCTCAACTGATCGTACTTGAACGCCTCAGTCAATAATTTTTTAGTTTGTTAACTTATGCAAGTAGAGATTCTTGTGCGCGACCTTTCAAAAAAGTATCTATAGGTACCAGTTAACAGTCTCTAGGTGCTATTGATGCATAAAGCAATACCAGTATACACAACATTTAAGGGCACAATTTAAAACACAAATAGGAAAACAAAAAATAAACATAAAAAACATTGTATAGTACGTTATGTATAAACTACAAAACACATACATAAGCACAAAAATATAAACACAAACACAACACTAACCTTAAATTTTCACAGAAAAAATGATCCGTAATTAGTCCAATCAGAAACCTGAGAAACAAAAAATATACGAAAAAAGAAGTTAATATTTCAACACATGAAAAATTTAATTGACCTACCTTATTTATGGATACAAAAATAAACAAAGTAAAAGTTATCTAGTTCAATTAATTTTATTCACATGTATGGAAGCATATTTCGACCTTTTGTAAAGCTATAAATGCAGACCGAAACTGGTCAATAAAAGCATCCTTGATTTAATATGCGTCTTTATATACATTTTTACGCAAATTTTGATACACTCTATGCATAGGAGAAGGTATAAACTGAATATGAAGGAGGATCGATAATGATTTGGTCCTGTATAACATCTAAGGGAGTCAGTTATTTGGTAACAATGAGCGGGACCATTACCGCAAGCACGTATTTAGAAATTAAGAATAACCTCTAAAAACATGCTATTGGTATGACCTTGGTCTTGATGAAATGGTTTTTCAGCAAGGTTATGCCCCGTCACACTACACCATCGGTTGATCAAGGCTTTGTTCTAGCCTCCGCAAGTTTCTGATTTCAATGCTATTGAGCATGCATGGAGGATCCTGAAGAGGAAATTGGGGTCATACGAATCAGCTCTTGCTAACTTGGACGACCTTTTGGGCACGTGCGCAATCAGAAGAGAAAACATAAAAACAAACATTTTAATCAATTATCTGGTAGCTTTTCCATTTAACAAAGCACAAGCATAAACACAAACCTTTTGAATTTCGACAATAATGGAAACCAAATTTTACAAAAGTTTTATTGAATTTCGGATAAGCCATTGGCTGAAAATTTCAGAATGATTGCCTCAGGTTTCTCGAAATTATCCGGAAATACTATAAATATAGAGCGCGGGGCCGCCGTTCTAAAAGGATTTTGCTACGGCTAACAATGTTTACCTCGGTTTTCTGTTCAGATTTTATTTCAAACCCCAGTCTGCCGCAGAGTATACAGGCATGATTCGGCTAAGGAGGGCTATACTAATTATTAAAACCTCGATTATTAAATTAAATTTTTTCTACTAGCATATATCTCTCAACTTTAAGCTTATCTTTACGAATATTAAACTAATCTGACCATTTTTTTAACAAGTTGTAGCTAGAACATAGAAGCTAACTGTGTATAAGTTTTAAAATCTGTGTTATTGAAAAGTTATTTTATAGCAAATCAATTATGGAAAACATGGAAACAACTTTGAGCTTAGTGTACAAGTATTGCCGCCACCATTGCTAGTATTATTATTTGTTTTTATTACTACCGTTTTCTTGACACTATTATTACTATTACCACTTCTTTTATTGTTAATACTATCATTTCTGTTGTTGCTATTAATTGTATTTTAAATATAACTGCTATATATGTGTACTATTACCCTTAGGACATTCAATTTTTACTATTAATTCAACTCGTATAGCATCTTTTTAGTAACCTTTATAGCGTTCTCATTTTTCTAAGGGTATACTTCTTAATAACTTATAAATAGAATTTTTCGAATAATGGAAGAAAAAAAAGTAGTTAAGACAATTTTTGTAAAAGAAAGCGGAGTAGCGAAAACTACATTAGTAGTGTCTCTAAAGGATGCACACATGAAAAAACGGAAAATATATAATTTAACCATTTTATTTTAGAAAAATAATTGTTCCGCTCAAGTTTTTTTCACAAACGCATCAACTTATTATAGCGGCCATGAATAAAAAAATATTTGCTAACCCTACATTTAACTTTGTGTATAACTTTTATTTGGAAAGATCCCTTTTTTACTCTCTAATATGGTCGCACGCAACTTTTTGCAACGCAAGTTAAGCCACCAGTCTTAAGAAAGTATATCGCTTTTTAATGGAAGTTACTTTATATTCTTGTTTGCAGACGTATTATACACGTATGTTAGTTATCAAATTATAAAAATATATTGAATATGTTAAAATTAATAAAAATGTATGTTGCATACTTATTACTTTATTGAAAAAATATTTTATATTATAAGAAGCTTTAGCCCTCCATAAAGTCACTAGGTAAAATTAATGTTTCATATATTGGTGTAGCTCAGAGGTAATTCAAAGTGAAAATCGCTTTCTTTTGAAATTTCATAGGCAAGCTGAACCAAATCTCTTTTATTAAAATTATCTCTATAAGAGTAGCGCTTACGTAAGCTTTTTTTTAGCGTCTCCGACTGATTAGAAGGATAAAACAAAATATAAACGACTATATTGATAAACTCCTCGTACTCAGCCTCTGAAACTGTTTTATGGTCTTCATCAAATAATTTGGGGGCGAGGCTCGAAAGTAAGTCAACACTCGTATAAGTTTCCATAGAAATTTCTTTATCCAAGTAACTCACGTCTTTTAGTATAGATTCACTTTTTTTAATTAACTTAGAGATATGTTTTGAAGATTCCTCATAATTTGTAATAGAGTTCTCTAGAAGTTTTATTTTGTCTAAGAATGCATGCAGGGTGTGGTTTAAATTAATGTTTTCTTCTGTATATTTTTGCAACTTGACGTGTAATAAACTAATGTTGTGTTGTATATTATAACCATCATAAGCTTTTTGTAATCGAGAAACTAAGTTAAGCAAGTCTTCGTTTTGCGACTCGAAAGTGGAGATTATCTCCTGGTAATCTTCAAGTTGTTTGGTGTAATTTTTTATGTGCTCTTCAAAGA